TACGTTTTCCTTAGACACAACATTTGACAGTAGCGTCAACAGGTGAGCAAAAAAAATGGTAAGTCCCATTGGATTGATGGTGATGATGACTCTATTGATAATCAGAACCTTATAAGTTATAACACATACCTTAACAAGTTTCTCCGCCTGGCTCGGTTCTCCCGCGCAAGATCTGGTGTTTCTTTTCGTTCCTCTTCGTCTTCTTTCACGTCATGCGTGGACTGTTTGGTTTCTTCCTCCTTTTGCTTTATTTTTTGTAAAACACGACTTGATGTTCTTCTTGGCGCTAGCTCTAACAACCTTAAAGTTATACAAAGAGAACATTATTTAGATGATGATGATTTTAGACACACAAAATATATGAAGTTACAGTACAACGATGACAAGGAAGATGTTTTTATTACATTTTAAAAAATTATCAATGCTTCGTTTATGTTATTAAATACTAGCATAACTTAAATATAAATATTTCATATGAAATAAATATGAACACACTGCAGCACGTTACGTTGACGGGCTTCCGTGTGTATAATAATATTTATATTCTGAATGTAATATTGCGCAAGCTTACGGTGGGTTCGGAATCCAATATCAAGTCAAGGAAATCCTCGCAAGAGCTGGTATCGATCGTAAAAAGGTCATTAATACTTAATGTCGCGGGACTAAAAGAATAGTATTGCATAATGAGAACAGTTGTTACTTCGCAAATATTCGTCTAACTGCTAATTGGTATAGCGGTCGCAAGCAAAATCGCGGAGTCCCGAATTCGATGTCTGAATTAGTAATTTACCGGTTACTTCGATTTTCACATTCTCAGTAATAGGAAGAAGAATCGAATTGTTCCTGTTATATAAAAAAAATACCACACTGCTATTATTAGGAACAAATAACAAGTGTTTTATTCTAAAAGCGGGACCATGCTCATATTTCTTGAGATTTTTAGTAAATAGGTATATTTTCAATATATCATTATTTACGGCAACACTTATTCGGGAAAAATGGTTTAATGCTTGAATCAGGTAGTAATAAGACATCGTTAACGGTTATTCTCAAAGAATCACTAATAAGTTGCACATGGCATTTTCATAAAATCGATAAACGTTATCTACAACAAGTATCTACATGTCGGTTTTTCGCTCGGTATTGCAGTTAATTTATTCAGCTTCTATTAGGTTGGAGCGCTGGCGCCAACAGGCCATATTTAGCAGAATGTGACATGACAGTGTCTTCCATAATACTTTGCATGACAAAATATTTTTATCTACTATCTGTGTAACTTTTCTGGACCATTCTACTGCACAGTTTTGTAAGTTAATTAATAGATTAAAAATAGAAGATTCACAACTGGGGATGATAAGAAATGGCATATAAAATGAAGGAAATATTATGGATTACATTTCCATAATACAACATTGTTGTTTTTTAACTTAAATTTTCGCCAGCAACTAGTGTGAAAATAAGATGTCTTTATAATCTGAATTATGAATTCCTAGAGTTTAGATAACTGATGTATAATAAATTATCGAAGTTAACAGTTTCATGATAAGATGGAGTTAAAACGGAGAGAAAGAGTATAATAATATGCAGCTTCAGTACAACAGCATAATTTAATTGAAAGTGGTTGCTAATTTCGCGGAAGATCTATTTCAGCATCTAGCTACAGTTGCAATGCAATATTGATTACAATCGCACAGGCTTGATTGACATATGGATGAATAGTTCTAAAACATTAGACAACTGATGACTTTTCTTCATATAGGTACTAGATGCTTTTGTTTATGATACATACTTTAAATGTATTTATTTTATAAGCAAAATTTATGGAAGGACACATTATACTGAATGCATTATTATAGTAAAGAGATATAGGTCACAAATGACATACATAATAACAATAAATTCTTAATCCTACAAATATATGTAATTAAAATTAAGATGAAAATACTTATAATACTATAAATTATGGTTCATTCAAATATTATCACATACATAATTGTTTTGTATTTAATACTATTTTAAAATATTATTTTTAATGATTTTAATCTTGTTATTAAGAATTGTTATCTCAAGAAGATATTTGAATAAGCTTACCTCTTCCGCTGTAGCCGTTCCTTTTCTTGAAAGAGTCGAGGTATTTCAGGCAAAAAATTTTGTGATAATGAACGGTACAACTCTTTCTCAACTTTGCTAGTGGCTTTACTAAACTTCTCTGTCAGGTGGGTCCAATCTTCTTCAGTAAAACAAACCACTTGCCAAACTCGGTCAGTATCTTCGTCATCGAGCCAATCATCACCATAAAACCAGCCTCGTTTTTTGTTCTCCTTATTTTTCTTCTTTTTGTTTTTTCCTTTAGGCTTCTTAATTATATCTTCTCGATATAATCTTGTGCCATAAAAGTACCAATATGCTGAGTAGTTGTCATCCCAACTGGAGATTAAAAAATCAAAATGTTATCATGGATCAACTCAGAGTTAACAACTGTAATGTAGTTTCTTGGCCTATTGTACAGACTCTGGATAGGATAGCCACTATTTACCAAATAATTTGTTTGAAGTATTGGCCAGTTCCGTAAGTAATATATGTTGTACTAAAACTAAACTTACCCGAGTGGCTCAACCCTTAGACTTTCCGCTTCAAGGTTTTTAAATAAATCAAATACGTCATCTGCATCTAATCGAAAATCGCATAGGGCATACAAAATCTCAACCTTAGTGCGTAAGGGCAAAAACTGGAAATCAATATCAGTGTTGAATGGATTATATCTCCCTGTATCTGTGCATTTTCTTCTAAACAAACGTCTCAAGTACATCTGAAACACCAAAACAATACAATATATATCTTATATCAATACAATTTCGTACAAACGATGAATGAGTATTTATTTCTAATTTACCTGATAATTAAAGGCAGAGATGTCATTGTTGCCCAAACACCCATTCAAAAGACGTACTATCAACTCAGTCAGGAGAGAACTAGCCGATTCTTCCGTGCCATCAGTAAGCAGAGCTTCCTCAAGTTCCTAAAAGATAAGAACACATAGCATTCGCAATAAATTAAACTGGATCAGCAAGTGTTCCATCAGCCAAATCGTAGCTACTACTTACTTCAATGTCAAAATCCAAAAGGTTGAATGCAGTTCTGAATAAAGAACAAAAGTACGCGATGCTGGGCACTTCCCACCATGACTGAATATCTAGAAACCGTGAGAAATTCATTCAGACATCACTTTTAGGGACACGGTCCTCGAAAAAAAACATGCAATTGATATCCCGTCTTAGCGAACCCACCTAAAATACCAATGAAAGATGGAAACATAACCTAAAAACGATACGCTTTCACTGTTTGCTTGTTTATAATTACAATTACTTCATTTTTATGTTGTCAACATATTTTAGCAACGATTTTTCAATACTTTTAGACGTTAAATGAAACAATAGAGAAGAGATACGAATATGCGTTGTGTATATCGAGACACAAACGCCATAACAGTTTACAAGTTGTACATACAAGTGAATCACTATTAAATTTGGGATTTTTATAAGATGTTCTAAGTGCTTAAACCATATCTAATATCTTTAATTATTTACCTTCCATTTTCTTCGCACTTATTTACACATAAATGATAACATTATGAAAATAATATAATAAATAGAACTAAAACGTTTAGAAGTTTTAACGGAAGTTTGTTGTTTTTTTTAGCTGACCCGAATGCGAAGGGAGTATCTACCTAGCTGATTGTCTCTGCTCAACCATAGTGAAGGTTATGGGATTGGTGATTCAAAATTTGTTTCATCTAAACATCTTTTAAATAATAGTTATTAAATAAAAAAAAGAGTTTACTTTATTTTTTATTTTTTTTATGGCATAAGCCGGTAAACGAGCTAACGGATCACATGATGGTAAGCAATCGGCGTCGCCCAAGGACACCTGGAACACCAGACACCTTACAAGTGCGTTACCGGCTTTTTGGGGATTATGAGTTTGAGGATCGTTGGGGATTCAGGGATTGGGGAGATTGGGGAAGGGGAGAGTAATTGGGCCCCCGGTAACCTCACTTACACGATGAAAACAACGCAAGCGTTGCTTCACGTCGGTTTTCTGTGAAGCGGTGGTATCACTGGTCGAGCCGGCCCATTCGTGCCGAAGCCTAGCTCTCCCACACTTAAAACACAAAACCTAATTTTGTGAATTCTCCGGTATCATATCAAAAATTAAAAATTAACTTATTTCACTTTCAGCATCCAAAATAATAAACAATTCCAATAGATAGATGAAAGCTAAAATTTCGTATTAATTAATTATATTTAGGTAGGATAATAGCCTCATTATATTATAATTTATGTCTTGTCTTGTCCTTGACCAGTCTTTAGGCTATTCCAGGTGTTAATAATTTATTGTATTTTACCTATATATTAAATCAGTACACTTACATTCGTAATCGAAGAAGAATTAAAACTTATGCAACCAACGTCAGTTAAAAAATAGCCTCAGTATAAGTTAAGTGCCGATGGAGTTCTTGACCGAATCTTTTCTATTGGACTGTAGCAAAATATTATGTTATTTAGGTTTCAGTAATATAACCATATTTTTAAAAAGGCTCTCTGTTACGAATAAATAAATCTTTTACAGTAGGCAGGTACTTCCGGTTTAGAAATAGATTTTAGAAATTCTATCAGTTCATTCTTTATTCGATCATAATAAAATCGTGATAATCGATTAGTATTTACTTTTTTCCAAAATGGTAGGTAATTTATAAGTTTCGTTTTATTACGCAATGTTGGAAACTCAATAAATAAAGAGGAAAATTATTAGCGTAGCAAAGTCATCTAATGTTTGGTAACTATCAATAGAACAATGATATTTATATAATATTTTTGATAAAACACGCAAATAATGAATTTTTTATGTCAATGTATTAACTACGAACCATAGACTCAACGTAACCTCTATCATCATCAAAGCGTCGATCATCGACATATTTTTTATCTCGCTCGTTTTTCGACTGACTCTTTCTTGCTTGAGTGTCTTGAATGTGACATGGCGTCCATCAAGATATTACACGGCCTTCTGTAAAACTGTTTTTAATGACAGTGGTTTCATTTGGCATTTTATTACTGAGGCCGTATTAAATCGTACATTTGCATTGATGGTAATGCATGCAAGGAAACCGCAGCGAATAAGTGATGGGTATGATATGGTTTTGAATGCTTCGGCTTTGCAGTCTGTAGATGGCGGTCGCCGATTTGAGTTTTACTATAATTTAGGTGAATGTAATAAATGTTTTTGTCTGTTTTCAGGTACTTTGAGAAGCATCAGTCCCATCCGTATCAGGTATGATATTTATTTCTTCTGTATACAAATGCAGATGCATTAACAAAGATGATGGTTAAACCTTGCCTGAATTATGTACCCCACTCTACGTAATAATTGATCCCGACTATTCTTTTCCTGTTTTTAACAACAACATTTATTCAGCGGTCACTAAAATTACTAATTTCGAACTTTCATCGTACTTATTAGTTCTCTTGAAAATGTACCTAATATTTGTACATCATTCTTGACCTAATCGAATTATAGGTATGTACTTGCAAGGAGGACAATATTCTTTTCATGTTAAACGTTTCAGAATTATTCTAACGATGTTTTTTCTTTAGTCTACATGTTCACTCTTCAACACAAAACTATTCTTGTTTACATGCATTCACCATCATAGTTTGTGATTGTATTTGTATCAAATCAGGTCTCACGTTTTCTTAGATCACCAACCAAATATTCACATAATTACAAATTCTGTAGCTTTCTTTTTATTATTGTTTACATTTGTTTATAATGGCAAAACATAAAACTGTCTTAGATATGATTGCATAGTGGCATTGTTGTTGATGATATGATGATAACCACCCACTGGGTAGTTATATTATGCATTATTACATATAAAGTGTTTTCTTTGAACAGAAATACAATTCAAAAAGTGAAAGAAGAGCAGCCAATGATTATGTCTCTTCTGAAAACCGATACACTCCTCTTCGATCCCCTAATGGTAATGTGTCCGCACATGGTCACAACACACACTCCAGTCAATCAGGCCACGGACACCACCACTACAGTCATGTGGCTGATGACAGAGGATATCCATCATCCAGGAATGTTTACCTACAGAAGGGTTCTGAAAAGGAGAGAGATAGAGACTACAAATCCTCTAGAAATAAGTATACAGGTATGATTTGTTTACCATCTTCATCAACCTTGGTCTCAGGAAATTATCTACTGTTTAAATAGTTAATAGCTACTTGTGGTCTTAAACTAAAGGTGTTTAAAAATATTTAACTTTCTTCATGGAGGGTGTTTAAAAATACTTAACTATTATCAATATTTAGGTTATTCCCATAAATTATAGCAAAATAATACCTTTACAGAAGTCTATAGTGAATGGTTTCCTAAATTAGTACACAACATATAATTTAGGAAAGGACTTGTTCATATGAATTTGTGATAATTAACTTACAATTTATGTGAAAGCTCAATAATACAATAACAAAGTGATGTTTTTATTATGAAACATTTATTTGCCAATATATATTTGAATAAATTGCATACTCAGGGTATAAAACAGATAGTTTACTTTTCTTTAAATTTTATTAATAAGATCTTTGCAAAATTTTGCTGTAAATCTAGATTGTTAATTATTTATTTTTTCTAGTCACAGTTGTAACTTTAAAACTGATGTCAAAATTTGTAGATAAAAATTATCACTATTACTTATAAATTATGCTGCAATGCATGAATGTTCAATAGTTTGTTTTAGATAAAGTTTAAACTACCTACCTATTAATAAAATTGGTTATTGTCATTAATTACTTTATTGAAATGGACATTGCACAGCGATTGTTTCACTGCATTTATTATTTTGCGAATTATTATTTTACGCAAATGGCTTGCAAAAATAGAAGTAGAAAATAATTAATATTAATTCTACATTATAATATAATTTCAGATAGTGTCAGATCACCGAAGGAACGTAGCAAAGACAGTGAGAGAGAGAGAAGTAATCATGAACGAAATGAACCAGATAAAAAGAATAGGACTAGTGGCATGAACATTAGTGTTAGTAGGAGTAGTAAATATGAGAAGAGAAGTGCACCTTCAGCAAGTGTTTCTGGCCGTGAATGGTCAGAGCATATTAGTTCATCAGGGAAGAAGTATTATTATAACTGTATCAGTGAAGTGTCACAGTGGGAAAAGCCTAGAGAATGGGACTCCAGGAGAACGTCATCCAAAGATTCAACATATTCATCAAGAAGCAGTAAGTGCATTTTTTGTCATGTTTATATGATATATGTAATTGTGTATTGAAAAAGAGTCATATTTACCTCCCTTCTCTTGGGCCTAAAGATTGATGAATACTCTAATTACTCTAATTTATTACTCTAATTCTTTTCATCAATCTTGTTCTCAATGTGGTATATTAAATCAGTGCACTAAGTTCATATGATAGTTGCATATTACATTTAGGTGCATTAGAATGTAATATACTGCAAGAATATCTGTTAACTCTTAAAACTTATAACTCAAAAAAGTAGTAGTTTTTTGAGTGTGTGTGTTGTGTTTATCCTTATTACTCAAGTTGTACATGTCTAACTTTTATGAAATGAAAAAAAGTGAAATATTTATGAATAAATGAACGAAGCCAAGCAATCATTAACACTGAAGAAGTTGAAGAAAAGTATTAATATGAAGCCAAGACAAATTATTATGTTGTACAAAAATTACTTAATGCTTTGTTTTTTCGTAATTTTTTTACGGTTTTTAGTAATTGAAATATTACCCCAGTTTTGCATTGGTGATGTTCTTCAACTGTCCCGGTAAACATTTAAATGTCTTCTTTAATACAATACAAACATATTTCGACAATAGTCTAACGAAAAAAAAAGATCTATTTTGTTGCAGTCATTTGAAAGCCAGCTCGTACATATTGGCGATTAAATAAACTTAACTGATTAATCACACTTATCAATAAATTAATTGAGTGATAAACTTAGTTGTCATATTTTGTAACCAATTTCTGAAATATTAATATACCAGTTACGTAGATAATCTCGCCCCAATGATTCAGGAGAAAAGGCAGAAACCACAGACCGCCACATTCAAGCATACTGGTTGCGGACCCTGCACCTATAACTTTATAAATGTGGAATCTTGTGAAGTCAAATTGTATGGTCTGGACCTCATAGAACTAGTTATTATTAAATTGTAATTAGTGCATGTTTCACCCTTTTTAACTTGGAACCCATAACAAAGCTGGTAAAAAATAGGTGTACATAAAATATTTCCAATTTTTTTTAATCCAGTCTAAGATTGGTTATTTGTATTCAATGTGTTGCCCAAAATTAATAATTATTTAATTTGAATCCTGCTAAATATAGTTCAATTTTGTCTAATATGTAATCCTTTCTATCCTTACTTCCTTACTAATATTATAAATCGGAAAGTGAGTTTGTTTGTTTGTTCTGCTTTCACGCCGTAACTACTAAACCGATTGCTTAGATTTTTTGCAAACGTAAAGTTAGAAGTCTAGATTAAATAATAGGGTATTTTTTATCCCGGAAAAAATGATATTTCCGAGGGAAAACAAAAATATTGGTATAGATGGCGCTGTGTGTATTGGTATTATGTTACATAGACTACTTTTTATCCTTTTCTGACGCGTGCGAAGCCGCGGGTAAAAGCTAGTGTTTGTATATTGCATTTACCTTACATGATAACATACTGTAAATTATATTATTATACATGCAACTATCATAATAGATAACAACAAGTTATAATTTTGATCTGGAACTCATGAATACGTGTCATGTAATACATATTTGAATTTAACATGATTTTGTTCAACTTATTTGCATACTAGTTAATCTCGCGCGGTTTCACCTGCTGCTCAGCGCCTACAGATCGTAGCGTGATGTTTTATAGCCTACAACCTTCCTTGATAAATGGGCTATCCAACACAAAAATAGTTTTTCAATTCGAACCAGTAGTTTCAAAGATGCTAATCTTTGCTATCAATACATATTCTTCAGCTTTATAATTATATAGCTTTTATCCGCGGCTTCGCTTGCATCACAAAAGGATAAAAAGTAGCCTATGTGACATACAACAATACACACAGCACCATCTATACCAATACTTTTGTTTTCCCTCGGGAATATCAAATTTTTCCGGGATAAAAAGTACTCTATTATTTAATCCGGGCTTCTAACTTTACGTCTGCAAAAATTCAAAGCAGTCGGTTTAGTAGTTACGGCGTGAAAGCGGAACAAACAAACACACTTTCCGAATTATAATATTAGTAAGGATTAGTATAGAAGAATTACATTATTCAAGAAGTATAATTATTACCCAATTTGAGGCTAAAACAAGTGAAGCATCACAATTTTGATAAATAATAAAATTAACCGAATTAAAAGAAAAGAGGTTCGCAGTTATGTATGTTTGTGCGCGATTACCTCGCGATTGTCTGAACAGATTTTGATGCGGTTTTCAGAAAAGTGTTTGTTACACTTAGGAGAAGGCTTTGGTACTTTAGGGAACAGAGAGTAAAGTTCCCTAAGATCGGAAAAGGAGGATCCTCCGACCAGGCGAGGTGTTCGTGCCTGGCGGACTTTCTGCCCAACAGTTGTTCGTTGGGATTTTTTATCCGAGTTAATTCGCTTGTAATCTTTGCATGTGCGATGTAGGATTTTGTGACGTCATCTGTTGATTTGTTTGAGCTGTCATGCTGTCATTTGACGTGTGTCGCCACAGTACATTAATTAATCGACTTCAGAAAAAGGGGGTTTAAGTCGGTTATTTTGTACTTAGTCTATAAAATAATTATTATAAGTAGTTTGTTTTTTTAAACAATTGTTGTATTTCTTTTAATTGATCTAATAGTTGAAAAGTTGTATGCCATTGAGTTCGACAGGTTCTTGTTGTAATAGCTCTTTCTAGTTTAAAACTTTCAGTGGTTGACAGAAAATTTGAGACTCGTATTTGTCTCCACCACCGTTCAAGACTGCCCATAGAATTATATCTCTACCTACCCATTTAGGGAATTTCTTTGCATTAAACCGTAATAGTCTCAGAAAAAATACTCCCGAAATTTTTTAGGGGGTAAATCATTGAATGACTTCTCCCGCCCGGCTAACCTGTTCAGTTATTTGCGGCTCCGTATCGGTATCCTCATCTGTAGTGGTCTGATGGCTCTTAGAGGCGCGCGCGGAACGCGAGGTGCCCTACCCTCGCGTCCGGTTCTGGTCGGGCGGCGAGCTACCCGTGCCCGCTGTCCGTAGCACGGGCTTACGTTGGACGGAGACCATCTCGCGTTCCCCATCGCCCGGAGTGTCTTTCGCGACGGCTCACGCGCCCCGCCTCCTGTCTAACTGACTGCATCTCAGACGGAGAAGACGGCATCCCAGTCCTCCCCGCACCACAAACTCCCGACATTAAAGAGTCGGTCTTACTTAACTGTCTATCTAAATAGTACAAGTTTGGCAACGATGCATTCATTCATTCATTTAGTATTCTGTTCCTGTTCACCCTCAAATCCTGAGCAATTATTCGTATAGGTCACAAATGAACAAATATTACCTAACTTTAAGGGCTGGCTGATGTATATCAAGCCATAAATATCAATTTACTAAAGTTTGCCAGTTCGTCTGTTTGTTTGTTTGTTCTCTCGTTTTTGAAGTCATAATAGTTTCAGCATGATTAGAAAATTTTGTGAACAGAACACTTGTGAAAGGCAAATTCAATTCTCAATTCTTTAAAATCTGTGAATAATGGTCAATGATTAGAAAAACAAAAAGTAACCTTTGCAATCCACTTGTGTAGAGGGATTAATATGGTTTTTCATTGAATATTCCGAATGCACAATTGTACATGAAGGAAGCAGACCATGTTTTGCCATTATTCAAATAAGTTTCAAGGTTGATTTTACTACAATTATTGAATGCATGTCATCATTGTTAAATAGTATACACATGAAGTTATGATTGGTGGTAATTATTTGTGATTAGAACGTAAGTGATTGAATCACACTGCAGTTGGTTTAATAGAAGACATGATAAAATATAATTGCGTTCAAACTTCACATAACATACAATCCCCGGCCGCATTAATAGATGCACTCTTGTTTTGAGTTCATTCTGTTTATATTCAGTACTTACACATTTAAAAATATCCTATTCATTCAACATACAAATATGATTCATGATAAAAGTTTTAACCTTACCAATTACCTGGTATCATTTCGACGTCGATTTCAGGGACACCCTGTATATTTTTATTGGGGAAACTTGGTTCTGTCAGAGGCGTCACCCACATTCCCAGGGGCAAAAGTAGTCTGTGTTATTCCAGACTATAATCTACCTATTCCATCCCAGTCCCTAATGCAGTTTTGATATGATTAAGTAACAAATGAACACACAAACTCACAAATGTTCAATTTTATAATAGCAATTCAAGCTAATTTCAACAAGAATTTTGGGTTTGGTGTCTATCTAGTAACACCCTTTATTATTTATTTATTGAATATTTTCTTTGTACAGATTTTACACATGTCTAGTTTTATTATATGTACAGATTGTTATAGATTTCATATACAACTTTCATGTAAAAGTAATTATGTTAACTTTTTTTGATAGTGTTATAAATGTAATAGTGACAAGTGTCAAAAAGCTTCGAACTACTAAGCTATCAGGAGTTACACGTGTTATTGTTTCCTAACAGTTCCCATTACTACCCTGCTCCTATTGATTATAGCGCGATGAAAAGTGTACTATAAACCAACCCAGCAATATGAAAAATAATTGTACCGAATTTCGTTAAAACCGTCGAGTACTTTTAGTAAAATTTTTTACTGTCAGTGTCAGATAGGTAGGTACATTTTTGGCATTAGTATCAGTCCCTAATCACCCCCTGAGAGCTATTTTGGAAAAGAAGAGTTTATGTTTTAAAACTTAAGGGTTCTTTAAAAGTAATGCAAGAATTAGGTGTTTTATTTGTAGGTAATTTTTAAGAGTAACTTTTATTTTCAAAAGGCTTCCAAAAAAAGTTTCTCGAAGACTGGACTGGTTTGGACCGATTTTAAAAATGCTTTTTTTTTATTCGAAGGGGTAGGCTTGTCATCAGGTCAGGAACTGATCCCAGGGAAACCGAGAACTTTTAAAAGTTATAGGGACGACTAGGGCATTTGTAAATTTTATCATTAAGAATTTAAAACCACTACAAACTGGTAATGACCTGGAGTCGATCTGATTATGGAGCCGGGATCCAGTCGAAGCAACTCCTCGAGCATATACACCTGTGACCCCGTGTTTGGCCTTGAATTATTTGTTTTGAGGAGAACTTTACGCTTCGATGTAGTGTAAATTGTCATTAGGGTCTGATAATGAAGTACTACGATAGTTTAGGAAACTCTTCAACGGTTAACAGTAGCTGTCTTGTGTTTGAGTTTGATTAATTTGTATTGATGGGACTTTACACCTAGATGGAGTTTGATTGTCATTAAGGGTCTGATGACGAAGTCGCACGATAGTTGATACTCCTCAGCGGTTACCAGTAGCTACCTTGTGTTTGAGCTTGAATAATTTCTATAAATAAAAACTTTGCACCCATGTGGGCTGTACATAATATATCATAGCACTAAACTAAAAAGTATAAAATAAAAATAAAACGCTGCGTTTAAAAAACCGACTTCTCACCTATCTGTGAGTGTGTAAGCTATAAGTACGTATGAACAATATGTAGTTATTTTTAACTTTTTAGATTTTACTTTTCGTTTGTTTTTAGTTTTTGAAGACGGTTTTGTTTTTAATATGGAAGTACGATCCTGGGAACTAGTTATGAATGCTTCGACCCCACAGATGTTAATTTTTACAACATCTAGCTTTTTCAACCTTTGCTCAAGACTCAATTGTTCAAAGTTGAAAAAAAACGTACCTACCCATTATTTGCGTGGAACGGGCGAATGTTCAGTAAATAGGTCGACTACAATATACTATTTAAGCTACGTTTTCAATGCAAGTTTTGTTGCATTGAAAGAGCCGAGAGTTGGCTTTTAGCTTTCAAAATCGTGTGATCTCCACCTATGGGATACTTTCTTTGGGAATCGTAAATTACATAAATATCACAAAAATAATAATGTTGTTAGTACCCTGATAAATGATATTATAATAAAGTACTTATCTATCTCAATTGATTTGTTCTATTGAGTTCTAAAGAAGTAAATAGTACTGCGGCAGCTACGGTCTCAACCATCTATGATATAAAAATGAATGAATATGTTGATTGTTGAACCTGTCAGGTTAATTAAAGGATTCAATAATTTAAATTATCCTTTCAGAAATAAGAAATAATCATGTTTGTAAAAAATATGTGTCTATTCTAATAACGGTTAGTAAGTATCTATAATTCATAACTAGCACCTAAATACACAAGCGTTATTGTAATATTATTATTAATTGATTATAAAAATATATTTATATTTTGAAAATATGATTTATTAGGATAGGATGCAACATGTAAACTAACGTTAACTGCCAGGTTAACGAGAACCCATCTGATCATTGTAGGTGAATTTGTTTTCGTACGCAGCATCACACGCGTTGATTGCAAAAAATCACACTACCTAAATGCAGCGTATCTATTCTATAGTTAGATATCACTATATTCACGTCAATGTTTCGTTTTGAGGTGCCGATCAACACCAAACACCGCAGATCACAATATCCCCCGCATTATTTCCGAATTGCGATGCACTTTGCAGATTCATTACAAGCATTCTCGTCTAATAGTAACGGCTTATTCGAGGGGAGAAAATCGTCCAATGACTTATCCCGCCTTGGGTAAGGCGAGAGGGGGGAGTGTCAGACTCCTGCTGTCTAAAAACCACCCCGTTCTTACTCCTAGCCCTCGAGCTGGAGCCCCGGCAATCCGTTAAGTCTTCCGCGTCTATCGGACATTAACCCTACTGGGTTGGGACCCAGTAGGGTATTTTAAGCTATATTCACTTACAACATCTACTTCTTATTTTTTTTTACTGTTTTTATTTTATAATTGTAGGTTGGACATGGGCTTGGCTGACCAGATTTGTAATTCTCAATATTGATATGCCTCTATATAAAAATATGTTACATGGCTTCATTTCGAACGAAAAATCAATTAATTAGTGATATTTTCATTGTTTAGGTCGAGATAAGAGATCAAGTTCAAGATCAGGCAGAAGAGAAGCTGAAAAATCTAGTAAAAGAACGAATAGTGCTTCGGAGAGATACTGGAATAGCAGTAGAGACGAAGAAGTGCACGATCGATCTAGACCAAAACATTCGGCGACTCCGCACGATGGAAAAGGTGAACCAATCGTTTGGCTTAATGGATATTAATAAAAATATTTGTTAATAGTGTCTTTTGTCAATAGATGGACAATCATTACAAGATATGGACATCTCCCCGGACAGGAGTACGCCGCTCTCTGAGAATTCGTATGGAGCCAGAGATACAAATTCATCCGTACGGAATAATGCAGAGAACAATTCGGTTCCGCCTGTTGTTGTACTTGATAACTCAAATCAGCCGGTATGTTTCATGCACTCTACCAATTATCTACGAGGTTAACTGTTGCCCATGACTAACGTTTGATGTTTAATATTTCAGAGTGGCTCGTTACTAGCAGCGGCTTTACCCCGAATTGTTGCGGTACAGCCACAGGTGACGTTACCACCCGTCAATAACAATGGCGCGACGGTTTCGCCAATTTGTGATGGTACTCGCAGTGGTTCGGGAACGCCACACCGCGACCCTGGGCCACCGACGCCGACACACTCTGAAAATATAGATCCTCATGCGCCACCACTACACCTAGATACAGCGTTACCTAGAAAAAGTAAGCGATATTGTATAATCTATACTAATATTATAAAGAGGAAAGATTTGTACCTATTTTTGTATGTCTGTAATGAATAGGCTCAAAAAGTACTGGACCGATTTAAAAAAAATCTTTCACCAATAGAATGCTACATTCTTCCAATTTGACATAGGCTACATTTCATTATGAAAATAATTAGGGATCCTTGGTAAACTTTAACAATGTAACCGAGGGTGTAGAAAAATGAGTCTTAAAATGTCTTTTGTCCAACTATTCTAGTTATGTCACTACAACAATCCAAATTTCCAAAAATAATTAATTGTCTACCCCGTGCGAAGCCGGGATGGGTTGCTAGTATCTAATAAAGTCGTATGGAAAGCTTAGTTAGCATTAGCAAAATTAACAATGTGAATGTTTTAAATATTAATACTTAATATGTAATATTTTTGTTCTAGTGGAATGTCTAGGAAGTTATTCACAAGTGGTGGGTGGCGCACTTCATCATGCACCGCCGATGCTGACGCCGTCACTCATCAATTACGTGCGGGCGGATTTAACGTCACATGTTACTGGCTGGCCAGCAGATATTCTAGAAAAACAGGTAAAGCAGAAACTACCACTCTACCTTCATCTCATGAATTTATGTTTCAATATCATAAATTGTAGATAAAATTAATGACTTTAGTTTACTATTCTGTACCAGGCTAACAAGTTCACTGAAGAAGCATATCAGCTAGGATGCTTGCAATGCACACGGGTATCCGCCGAGCTGAAGTGTTCTCGGTCACTTGTCCGCCACACGGAAATAAGGGCCACGTTACAGGAACAAAAGTAAGTAAAATTTTTTAGTAGAGAATATAGTGGAAAAGGGTATACATCCAATTTTGCCGAAAATAATTTAATTAGGTATACCTAAACCATCAGAAAAAATGCTTCATCATTCAAGTTGTGTAACACGTTAAACGCCATGGGGGTCACCGGTGACCGGCGATAGCGGAGGATTCACCTTCAAACGTTTTTTATTGGCAGTCAAAGTCTTAAACCTACACCTATAAAAACATCACATGTATTATATATTTATTCAGGTTTTTGTACATTTTTTATGCATTCACCATAATGACATAAGACTACATAGTTATATAGTCTGCACAATACTTTTGTATTACTATATATTATTGTTGATAGGTGCTTGAGGCATTGAGAGTTTTCTGAAACTGTGAAATGGACCCGTTTTGTTGTGTATATCCGTCGTTATGTCGAGGTCAAAATTTATTTTAAGTGATACTTTACACTTTTTAATGCCCACAGAATAATGTACCTGCGGCAGCAGATCTCACGGCTAGAGGAGCTCAAGTCGCAGAATTCGTTCATGTCAGAGGACTAGGATTTGTGGCGGGGACGCCGCGTTCCCCCGCCGCTCTCCTCGCGCTGCCGCCTAATACGCGCGCTGCATTTCCCACCCTTCCGGGGGAATTTTCACATGTCAATGCTAAACATTGTTCATTCCGTTCACTTTCTATGTAATTTAGATCGAATAATTACTCCTGTGTTGTGTGATTTGATGTTAAACACACGTAAAATACAATCCACTAAAGCATAGTATAAACCACAAAAACGATTGGTGGAAATATTGTTCATTCCGTTCACTTTCTAAGTAATTTAGATCAAATAATTACTCTTGTATTGTGTGGTTTGATGTCAAACACACATCAATACTAAAATCCATTAAAACATAGGATAAAACTTTAAACAATTCATGTATATAAACTAATGATGATGAGGGGATGAAGTTACAGGCAATTTTGAACCTTTCGGAGGAATAGCCAACATTTTCTCTGTTAACTTATTAATAATAATGAACGTGTCTCTTTGTTATAGTATTTACAGTTGTCATTGTCAGTGGTTTGTTTGCAGTAGAGTTCCCAAGGTCGTATGTACCTTAGCCTCCTCCAGAGGAATGTGGTCCAGCAGATGTTTTCGTTCTATCCCCTCAGCCTGGCTGATGAACCTCCATGTCTAAGTGTTAGCTATCAAATTACTCAATTATAATGAGTTATTTATTTGCACTGCAAATATAAGTGTAAACAATGACGTTAGAATCGCCAGGATCTTTCAATTTGAATTAAATGTACTTTAAATATTTCAATGTGGTTCAATATTTCGGCTTCAACTTGATTTATGTCAATATGTGGATTAATCAATATAATTATGTAATTATAATAGAAACGGAAGTATGTTTTGATGAAACTATTGTTTATGTAGATAGGTTAAGTAGGTATGACTGGACATACGGCGCAGCACGCGTCGAGAAGCTGAGATCATAATTGTATTTCTTTCTTCCCATAAATTTAATAATAGAGATGCGGACCAGTCGGAAATATATTTAATAGTCTTATTATTTGTCTTATATGTCTATCTCATTATCCTAAACCAATAACTAATAATTGAAATTTAGAAAAATAATTAAGTTTGATTTTTTTATTATTGTTACTAAGTATCTGTCTAAAAACGTGACACATTCATTAGTTTGAAATTTATCAAGAGTGTGACTATTTGATTGCTGTTTTTTTGTCCGCTTCCCTATTACAAAATTTTTAAAACATTTTATAAACTTTGAAGTTAAAGTTTGCTTTCAGTAACCAAAATCTTGATACAAATAAAAGTAGAATATTATTATTGTATTATTCGTTGGTTCAATCTTAGATTTAATGATTATTTGTCAATGTAAGGGTACTACAGACTTTTGTAATGTGTTTACTGTAAATTAAATTATTAATTAATGTATTTGGTAGAGAATGATTTCAATAGTTCACATGCATCATCTTTACAAAAGTTGCGATTAGTCGCTCCTTCACAAATGATTCGGTCTCATTGCTCATGCGTCTGTCGCAGACGAGGTAATACTTGTCGCAGCTGCTGTTCAGTTATGACCAGCAAAATTCTTTAACGCATTGGCTGCCGTGTCGGACAATGTTGTCCGATGCTAGCGGAGGATTAGCCTTTAACAGTTTTTGTCGGCAGTTAAAGGCTTAAAGAACCAAGTATTGATAGTAATAAAATTTAAAGGAATTCAAGCCTTAATGTTAATTGACTTTAAATCTATAAAGCTTAAAGATCTTAGTAAAAGTAACATTTGCAAGCTTTGGATTTTAAGTACACACACAGTGAAGTGAGGGGACTAGAATTCACTACATGAGTAAAATAGTGAATCATTATTTAGGTAAACAACTCCGGTCTAGGTCTATCTAATTTTCTAATCGAATAGGGCTATTATATTGTTTGAACTGCTGAAATTACACACCGATACATAATATAATAAATAAATCAAAGGAAATACTACTGTGATATTCATTATTTCACACGTAATAATAGTGGATTTAAATAAAATATACATTAATGTATGAAAAAGGCCTGTGTGGAGCTGTAATTAGGAGCACGCTGTTTATAAATCACTTATTTATATTTTTAGGGCTTCTGAAATCAGGTCTCGGGCAAATTTTAAAAGAAACCCGATGCGTCGTTCTGCTGTCGTCGTCTTTTTTTAACTGTATTTTAGTGTTAACTAGGGACCTGTCAAATCGCCCGCCGTAAACTTAGGATAGAAAATAATATTTGAAGTATATATAATATGCGACTAATATTGTCGCCTCCACGCAGGACTTTCCTAGAAAATGTTTCTTTTCGCATTCTGACAGAGCCCGCGCAGTCAGTCGACTGTCGATCGCTCGGTACTTGTGTTATCGAGACAGTTGACGTGCCTACGCGGGCCCTAATTACATTTCGTCTGAGATCCGATATAACATCGACCTTTACCGATTTGTTTAATGGATAAAAATTATTCGATAGGTCATTTAATATACCAAAAAAGACACAAAAACCTTTTGTTGTAAATCAATTACAAATTGAAAAATCTTTTATTTTTTAAATCTCACTATTGAGTTTAATGAAAATATTGAACACAGTAAGTTCACAGCCTATAGGATATGCAAACGGAGGGTTACCTATAATTTTCGTGGCGTAACGTTTGGATTACCATGTGTAAACACGCTGAAATCCCGCCTGCATCAAACTGCGGACGGACCATATTGGGGCCATGAATGCATAGAGTGAGGGAGTTTGGGTGCCTTAGGGTGTTCCCTGAGGTAGCATACTGGTCACGTGCTGCCGTGCAACTGCACGCCGAGGCTCAAAGGAGTCGCGCGTCTCCCTAAGGATGTCCCGTAAACTCCATAAAGGCGTCGCACTGTGGGGGCTCGGCAGGTTTGTTAGAGGAACCGGTGGTCACCGCGGTGGTTTTAGTGAGGTAAAATCCCACACTTCCCAAGCTGTAAACTACAAAAAAGGTGTAAAGAGGTATTTCGCTCGCCAAAAACACATATGGTGGACGCAAAATACCGGAGTCTCCGGAGCGGCTAAAGGAGAGGCGACGTGGATTTGAGTATTCCCGACAGATCAAGTATCAGATCTTAACAAAAAGATTACAAAGCTGGTAAAACGTGACCTCTGATCTCTACACGCGCAAAAACGAAGCGATCGAGCGATATCGGGGGTCCAAAATCTTCATCCAGTAACTGGGTCGAAGCCATCTGGCAAAGCTGACCACATCGAGTGGGAAAGTCGTATCTTCTGGACCGGAGATTCCGCAGAGGTTCGGCGCTTCTACGGTGAATTTCACGTGTTAAAAGCACCAATGAGATTCGGGGGATCCCAGAGCCACACTTGGCCGCCATTTCACCGAAGAGTTGCAAGAGATCAGCGAGGTTGTGACCACGGTGGCTTTGGGGTAGCTTAATAATGGAAAAGCACCCGAAGACCATGGAATTACGACAGAGCACTTGAAAGCAGGTGGAAAACGGGGGCTAGAGCGACTCCGACACATCCTCTCTTCTCAAGAAGAACTCCAAATGCATGGTGCAGGAGTGTTGTCGTGATGTTCTTTTAAAAGGGAGACAAAACCCTCTTAAAGAACTATCGACCTATTTCCCTTCTGAGGCATCTCTACAAAGCTGTTCCAGTCATCAGTAATCGTCTCGCGTGAAGACTCGATGATTTTCAGCCCCCTGAGCAGGCTAGTTTCCGAGGAGCCATATCTTCCATACAATGCGGCAGATTATACAGAAGACTGAAGAGTATAATCTGCCCTTATGCCTAGCGTTTGTGGACTATTTTATCTAGCTATATTGCGTCAAAAACGTATATTACATGGGTTTATTGCAGCTGATCCAACACTTTGTAGAAGACTTATCTATTCTCGATTATAACAAGAGACGAAATCTTAACCTTCAATGATAATTAGAAGAGAGTTGCGGGGAGGCAGTGGATGCAGGTGGCGTGTTGTATTTCGACATGGATGACTAAAAGAAGCCTTTGTCCAGCAGTGAACGTCTTTCGGCTGTTGATAACTGTCCGAGGTCTCTCACTCTGGTCTGGCACTACCTCCTACTGCGCCCTGGACGAGAGGAGTCATTTGAAGAAATTAAAATAAAAACGACTGCTAAATCTTTTCGCATAATCATCAATAGCCTCAAATTCTTTATTTTAGCAATATTGATCATTATTTTACGTCTCCTACCTCCTTTAGAAAGCAATTATTGTATGAAAATTATGAATCTTCTAACTGGTATAACGTCTTCGTCTTGGATCCTATACCTTTACGCCATATTAAACTATGCCCCAAAGGGCTAGTTCTAACGGGACGTGCCATGGCTAAGGTCTAAAAATTTATGGATTCAAAATCTCCTTTAAATTTTTATTATTCGGCAACGACAACCGTCATTCAAGATAGACTTATTACAGGAAACCCTATATCATTGTATTCACAATAAAATCGTACTTATTTTCATGTTTAGATAACAAATAAGTGAAAATACCTACAAGCAAAAACCTGTTTACACCTGGCAACCCAAACTTTATACCAAGAAAATTATAGGCAATCCTCTTCCGTTTGAATATCCTGCAGGTTGTGAACTTACCGATAGTGCTAATTCTTTTCGTTAAAGTCAATGGAGAAATAAAAACATTAATTAAAAATTTTAATTATTACGTGGCCGAGGTTTTACCATGTGTTTTTACTATTTTTAATAAACTAAATTATCTATTGAATATGTTTTATCCATTAAACACATCAGTGAAGGTCGATGTTATATGGGATCTTAGACTAATTGTGAACTTTTTTCATATAGAAATATGACAATTAAACCGGATTAAATAAATCAGTTTCTGATAACCCTGTGTATTCATTACTTAATTTCCAACACTATCATTTATGTAGATACACCGAATTATCTTTAGATAGTTGGGTAACATATCAATTCGGATGTGTTGTTTAGTTAGCTCCTAATCCTAGTACTATTGCAGTACCAAGATTAGAGATCTACGCAGTCCATTCACTTCACTTGATTTTGTAGGTCGTTTTGTGTATTTAATTTAATAATATATCTAATAAGAAAACTCGTCCTATTTTCTCAATATACTAAGTTGATTATTATTTCAGGAAACAAAACTACGATAAATTTTTTTCAATAAGTATTTTAATGAATATTGGGAATAGAAATTAATTACAGCAATCCTCGCGGTCACGATATAATTGACTGCTTTTTATTTTGTCAGCTCAATTACCTACCTACAAATAGGGATATATCATATCATAGGTAGGTACTTAGATATTATGTAAACAAATACTAGTGACTTTACATCTACATAAATTAGGCAAGGCCACTCATGTAATGAAAATACATACTCCCTGATCTTCATCTGATTGTGAAAGCAGCTTGATAAGATTGTGTAAGAAATTCAGTCAGTGATTTGCGTAAGTAGAGCTGTGCCACGTATAATCCAGTAGCTTTGTGGGTGATTTGAAGGCAACAGTACAGGTAGAACGAAGTTAGTACTGTGTCCCGTTGTGGACAAAACACCTGCTCGCTCTGACGTTTTGTACAGAGGTGCTTCATATCGAGGGTCAGGTTTCGGAAGTGTAAGCACTGGCTTGAACCACACCACTGGCATCGGAGGGTTCATTTGACCTGGTCAACAAGATACATGTAATAGATTCGTTATAAGTACCCACGCACAAGGCAACCTTTATAGGTAGATCACGTAGTAGGCAATTTTAAGTGAAACTAGCTTTCAGGAAGCGCCTTAGTACAAATAGGTAGGTGATTTCAGTTTTTAACGTTCCTGTGGGAATTTAGTAAAATATTCTCTTACGTTGCCGGTCTTTGTATTGTAACCTAGTCTAAAGCTAAAACTTATAGTATCACTTACCAGGAAAAGCATCAACCAAACGACCTAACCCCACGTCCCAGCGACCAGCGTCAATAAACAAACCATGTATGTTGACACCATCCTCAGGCACCTTCAAATGCTCGTAAGCATTGGGACCCTCCTCGCCCTGAAAGATACAAGATATAGACACTACTTAGTAGAAAGGTACAACAACAATATTACGGCATGTGATACAACTAGCAGTAAGTCGGTCTACTAGATTGTTCCCATCTAAATAGGTAGATATATCAACTACAACTACAATCTACCATCATCATTATTAGCCTTTTTTTAATGGGACAAGCCCGCCACAACTACCCAAAACCGCTGCAACTTCTGTAAGTCAGGATCTACAGTAGATACAACCATGAAAACACCGGAACACTGAAGTCCGAAGCGTCCCAGGGACATGAATAACATCAATAGCCTAGAAATTCCTATCGCTGAGCAAAGGCCTCACACGGAGGTTGGACCTTTTTTTAAGGGGGGAAAATCATCGAATGACTTCTCCCGCCTAGGTGAGTCGGGAGGGATTGTCAGACTCTTACTGACTAAAAACCACCCCGTTCCTACTCCTGCACTTATAGCCGAAGCATCGGCAGTCCGTTAAGTTCTCTGCGGTTCCGTATCGGCGTCAGCCCTATTGGGCCCTATCCGTGGTGGTCTGATGGCTCTTTGAGGCGCGCGTGGAACGCGACGCGCCATACGCTCGGATCCGTGGTGGTCTAATGGCTCTTTGAGGCGCGACGCGGCGTACGCTCGGGTCTGAGTGCTTACTCTTGAAATCTCAATGTCAATGCAGTTTCAATCCAATCAAATCTCAATAATTATCCAATGTCAAAACTATACAACCCCTACCGTAGCTGTTGAAATAGTATTCAGAGTACGGAATATAAAGCCAAATTCAGTACCATTTAGTTCATTCAATATCCATGCAAACTCAAGAGTACGAAATTTCACAATACCAATGTCGATCTATCTGAATGAGATTCATGAGTAGGCCCCAGGTCGGGCGGTGAGCTACCATGCTCGCTGTCCGCATGCCTGTGCTTATTACGGTGGCCGGATATCGTCTCGCGAAAACCTTTGATTTGAGAAGGTTTGACCTACCAACCTAACTAAATTCACTGAAAATAATGATGGTTGCACGGAGAGGGAGGTGTGGATGTCCCCCGTGCTTAGTCGAAGACTATCACTCTACAGTCCTTGGCGTCGGCGTCCTTTGCCGTTCCGTAGAATATCATGCGATACCACTTATAACTCTGACGACCATCGTCCTTCGGGGTTGTCGCAGTTGTGCGATGCTACTGGCTATCAGGACAGGACACTAACCCATATGAGTGCACCATACGTGGCCGCATCATAGGTACGTATACAGCTGTCTGTAAGGGGCGCTCGGGACCTCCAAGTCGGGAAGCAGCTATGCTATTCTTTAAGATGTCAATTCGAACTCTCGAAGTTAGCTCGATCGCATTTTCGTCCGTCACGGTCGGGATTATTCTCACAACGAATGACACGGTGGACCGCCATCGAGAGTAGTCAAGTATTGTCGAAAGCACACTCGCAGCGTCTTTCAACTAACCGCCGAAAGTGACGGCATTTATTTGGACATTTTACACGAAGAAAGTTATTGGTGTTTGTTCTAATGGTTTTTTTAAAAGATTTTATTTCCACTGTAACAAAATTGTATACTTATTAATAATGGAATTAGACGAACCTTTTTCCTATTATTTTGTTTGTAAATATCGTCTTGTGACAAGTAAATCGGCAATGGAAAGAAGTCAAACATGAGCGCGTCAATGGGCACACGGAAGCGCCTGGCGTAAGACTGTAGTGATCCTGTAAGCAAGCCTTGTGGGAAGAAAAGCCCTGACACCCAACTGCTCGGCTGTGCGCCATCTATTAACCATTTCTGAAAAAGAAAAAAATTACGTATTTGACCTTAGCAAAGAACCGCTGATTTATGAATACTTTGCTATAAATATGGTTCAATATTTACTTACCTGTATGAAGTCAACTCTTAAAATGAGATCGTGTATCCAACTGCCAAGAGTTTTTAAGGAATTATAACCTTTTTTATGCCACATATTGGGGACTTTATTATTTATAAAAGAAGTGAAAACTTCTTCAAACTCTTCTGACATTACCACTATACCCTGAAAATAATAACGCAAAGTTGAAGGTCACGTATTGATGTTCCATGGAACACAATCGAATTGCGTTCTATTTTCTTATGAGATGGTCTCACTAAACCCTTCCTCTGAGTAGTCTCCAAGCCAAATCCGGCAACATGGTAATTAGGAGTTTGTTACCTATCCATAGTTGCTAAGATAGGTAGGAGTTCCTACTCTAACTTCATTCGTTATTTAACTAAAATAGACATATTTTGCGTTGCCCTCAATTAACTTACACGAGTCAGTCTGTAAGTGTGCTTACTTGGCTGTTTACTCTTTTTAAGTGTGAGAAAGCCATGCTTCGGCACGAACGGGCCTTCTCGGCCGATAATACACTTATAACAGGTGTTCCAGGTTTCCATGGGCGAAGCCGATTGCTTACCATTAGGTGATCCGTCTGGTCGTTTCCTAGCTTATCCTATAAATAAACGCATTCAGATAAAATAGGAAATGTAAACTTACTTTGATTGCTTTCTGAAGTTCATTTAGTGAACGATGTATTAAAGTAAGCAACGTATTGAACCTGTCTGTTTCATGTATCAGCACAGTCGTGAGAGAATGTAGTTGCCCCATATCATCAGGTATCATGAGGTCTGGGTTGATGAGGGATTTGTCTATAGATTTAGATATTCTGGATCGCGTTTGATCACTAATTCGCCAGACAATTTGATCAGGTGTGTCCCCGCCACCAGTACCGGCGGCACGAGGCTGTACATCTACTATTGTTTGTATTAAAGTATGAGATTCCTTGTTCTGCAAAAAAGATAGGAAATAGCGTAAGAACAAAAAATTACACTCGTACTTGAGTACAGACTTAACACCTCTATGTAGGTAATACATTTATACATCTGTCAAATTTCTTCCTTTATATTGAGTCAAAAACTTGCACATTTGCTAGAGAAAATCCAATGTAAAATGTCGCCTGTAAACATACTACATCGGCTACGGTAATTCGAATAGGTGGGAAGACAATACCTCAAATGCTATATTCGCGTTTTCATGCATACCGAATACTTCCGGATTCTCAATGTTCGGTAATGACTCTATGTAATCCCTGTACGTTTCTAGTTTTGGCGATCTTGGACAATAATATTTGCCCGATTCGGAGTACACATATCCCTCTTCAAGAGTTTGCGGTGAGAAGAATATTTTTAAAATTGTGGTTAAACAGCGTTGATCCCACATGTCTGTTACTCGACCTCCATATGTTATAAGACCTACAGGGAAAATAAATAATGGGTTAGATAGGTACCAAACTGTTAAACCTTTGTACTTGTATTTACTTCTCCAAGTTCAAAAACAAAAAAAAAATACGAGATAATCTTCAGTATTACTTGTTATATATTCCAAAGCATCCCAAGGTATGGTTCCATCCTCACAAAACATTTGCAAGTTCATCAAGGCGCACTCGCGATCGCTATTATTAAATTCGTAAGTAATATTCCACCCTAGCGGGCCGAACTTCTTGCGTTCTTGAATGATTGCGTGGAACATACAAACACCAAATAGCATCGAGCGCCAGTCTTGGCCCAAAACTGTAAAAAATTAACAGTCGCTAGTAAATTCACTCTCAAATAAACAGAGCCGGTTGTTTATTTTTTATTTCTTGAAAAATATTATCTGATACAAGTATTTTATTAAATGGTGACGTAATTATGCTGTATGAACGGCAATTAAATAAGTAGATAATAGTTTTTAAACGGAGCCCAACAAACATGTTATAAGTACCTAAGTAGGTAAACAGTGTAGGTTTTAAAGAACCGTCTATATTATTTTTACATACAATACCTCTATTAGTAAAAAAAATGTTTTGTTTTGCAACATTAAAACCGTAAACTACAGATCAAAAAAATATTGTACTTAGTGGGTAGGTACCTAGTCCCACGCACAACACCCACTGAAAGTTAAGTCAGTGCATATTGAAGAGTACCTATAGTATGTAGGTACCTATCTGCTTTGTGGCCCATGTACACCAAAACTTTTGATTTTATAAAAAACGTTTTGAATTTGGTAAATTTTGTACCTACTAGATGTTTTTCTCGTTAAATATATTAGAAAAAATATATTACAAAATTCTTATTAGTCACCATTTACCGATTTATGATTTTACACTTATTTAATGATTTTCATTGGACCAATGAAAACGTCCAACGTTCAAAGTCCCTAAAGTGTCATATTGACACGACCATCAGACCTCTATAGGACTACCTACACTATAAAAAAACGCGCCGGTTGACTACTTGTGGAGAAATTAAATTTATTAACTCGTCGAGTACCGGTTTTGCAGACACAATTATAGAACAATTTTTTTTTTTTTTTTTTAAGGGGGGAAAATCATCGAATGACTGCCCCCGCCTGGGTGAGGCGGGAGGGAGTGTCAGACTCTTACTGACTAAAAACCACCCCGTTCCTTCTCCTGCACGTCGAGCCGGAGCCCCGGTTACCCGTTAGGTTCTCCGCGACTCCGAATCGGCATCGGCCCTATTGGGCCCCATCTGTGGTGGTCTGATGGCTCTTTGAGGCGCGCGCGGAACGCGACGCGCCGTACGCTCGGGTCTGTTTCTGGTCGGACGGGGAGCCACCCATGCTCGCCGTCCGCAGGCCCGCGCTTACGGTGGCCGGAGATCGTCCCGCGATCCCCGACGCCCGGTGTGTCCTTCGCGATGGCTGGGTTGCGAGGAGGCCGCGCTACGCTGCCTCACGCGTCCCGCCTCCTCCTTAGCTAGCATGACTGCTTCGCAAAAGGAGGAGACGGCATCCCAATCCCCCTCGCTCCGCATCATGGCCTGCACTAGGCCCGGACGCGAGAGGTCGCCATCGCCGATCACTTCCCTGAGGACACGGCGGTGCTCAGCCCACGAAGGGCATTCTCCCACCGTGTGTTCCACCGTGTCCTCAGGGCGGTCCTCGCAGTGATGACACCCGGGCGTTTCCTCCCGCCCCATCAGACACAGGTACCTCCCGTAACTGCCATGTCCGGTGAGGACCTGCGTCAGGCGGTAGGTGAGGACGCCGTAGCGTCTCTCAAGCCACTCCTCAAAGAGGGGACTTACCGCTGCGATGGCAGCGAGCCCAAATTATAGAACAATAGGTTGCGGTCACCGGTGACCGCTTGGTGTTTGACAGTTGGGGAATTAAACTGTCAAACACCGGTGACCGCAACCTATTGTTCTATAATTGTGTCTATAATGACGGTGCTCGACGAGTTAAAATGTAGTACTCTTTGGTGGAGCTCTGGAGCCAAAACTACTTTTATTACTAACAAAAAAGACGTAAATTGTAGAACATAGTGAATACCGTAAAATGGGGTGAATACAATTCGAGGAGTGAATAGATACAGAAGACGGGTGAATAAGTATTGAGAAAATGTTCTAATATTTATTAACCCCGTTTTAGCGTTAGTTTGATTTTGGCCGCCATTTTTCCAAGATGGCGGCGCGTGCGGTGCATGTACAAATGTGTAAAATGGAAATCGAAAATAGCACAAAAGTCTATAAAATGATTTTCAAAACTCCCGGAAAACATTCCAGGCAGAACTTCCAAATGATACTGAACTACTTTTAAAAAAAGCAAAAAAGTCATTCACTAAGAAAATTGTAAAGTAGCGTAGCGTGTGTCGTGCCGGTGTGAAATCGAAATTGTTTTAATAAGTAGATTACTAGGTAGATACATAAGAACATTTTAAATTCTGTACGTTATTAATTTTTATGAATAAAATAATGGATCGAGGATGATAATATTCAGATTTTAAATAATATTGACAGTAAAATAATTCGTACCGTGTTGTTCAAAGAAATCTTCTTCCATTTCAATAAGAGCTCTTTTCACATTTGCTTTTAAGCCCTTAGGTGGTTCATTTGTGACCTTAACAGAATTTTGCAGGACAGACACAGGAAATTTGGGTGTGGGCATAGAGCTCAAGAAGAGTCGAAAATCAGGATGATCGGATTCACTACTCAAGTTAGCTACTATTACTTCCAGGCTAAGCATCCATGAAGCTGCTAGGTGACAATTCTGTAAAACAAAATTATCATTGACAACGATGTGAGTACGTTACATAGGTAAGTTGTTACCATACATGCAATTTTAAAATATCTTTCTTATTGTAATAATAATTTCAATACTTGTAGGAAAATCCAATCTCCTTTGGGTTTCGCACCACTTATCATCTTCTCGGCTACTGGTCCTTGCCCTTGACCGAGTGAGATTGAATGTACACGATCACGCATCCCCATTTCCGTGGCAAACCGTTGAAAAGCTCCGAAAGGATCAGAGCCTGTGCTTAATACAAACACTAGAGGGATAGTCGCAGCAGTATCAGCATATCTAGAAAAATAATATTTTTTACGACCCGTTGTGGTGTTTTGTGAGGTCTATCACTAGCATGGCGCTCCCATACTTAAATTATTAGATAACCTAGGTGACAAATATGTAATCATCTACAAATATTAATCTTATAGGTCCTACATATACAAAAATATTAAGCGTTTCCAGTATTCAATATTTTAACAGTTGTGTATCTAATTGTATGAACAACAAACCTGTAGACTTATATTGAAATCTGTGATGAAACTAAAAACTATTAGAGTACCTACTACGTAGGTAATAAATCTTCAAGGACTTCAAACAAGGACAAGGGTCTATCTAAGAACCGACCAGTGCTCAAACTTCCTGTGATATTTAATTTGACTATCGTATCAGTTTTATATTTATGTATACCTATACCTCTACTTATTTCAGAGGCACTTCAGAATGCATAAACATATTATGAAGCGGGCAACATACAAACTACGTCCGCGACGAATGTATACCTAATACTTGTCTTTAAGGGGGAAAATCATTCAATTGGTCGTCTTGCCTTAGGCAAGCTGGGAAGGAGTGGTGGTGGTCTGATGGATGGGTTTTGGCGCGCGTAGAATGCGACGCATCGTACATTCAGGTCTGGTCCTGGTCGCCTGACCGTTGACCTGACTCTTGCTCGCCTGCTGTTTAGCTAGCATGACTGCCACCCGAAGGAGAAGACGGTGTTCCAGTTCCCGTTGCTCGGCCTTATGGCCTAAACCAGAGTTGGACGCGAGAGGGTACAGTCGCCAATCATTTCCCCGAGCATACGGCGGTGCTCAGCTCACGTGAGGCACATCGCCACCCGATGTACCACCGAGTCCTCCGGATGCAGTTCTTGAAGTGATGAGGCGGGCGTTTCCCTCCGCCCTATTAGAGAGATAGTGATTTCTCGAAACTTTCGTGTTCGGTATTTATAACGAATGTACTACGATACTAAAATTAAATGAATTTATTTTTTAACTAGTAGAATAAGAGAACATTTAAGTTGGCCACACTGTGTGTAACGTCACGTTGACAGACAGTGTCATCTAAATCTAAATGTCACAGTATTATGACAATTCGACAGTTCTACACTAAGCCCAAACTGGCAACAGCATTTCTCTGTCAGTGTTCAGTTTAGGTCTGTGCGTTGGTGAGGGGTGAACTAATCCATCCTACCTGCGCCTGTGGTGTTGTAGAGAAATAATTTTACAGTAACATACAATTTGTAATCTGTATTTTATTCTTAAATCGTAGAGTCATTTCTAAGTTGTGCTTTCGTCATCAATTTCTTTTGTGTTTACGAGAAGTAAACTTTAAGAAAAGTTTTTGATAAAGTTCTAACTTTTTATCTTATATCGTGTTATGTGAATTGAAATATACCCACCATAAAAATGGCATCAGCAGTGGATTCCAATATAACGAACACGAAAATAACTTTAAATAATGGCACACAAATGCCTGCAGTGGGACGTAAGTTATATTTTGCTTTATTTTAAGAATTCAATTGTTAAGAAATACATACTTATCTAACACAAGTGCAACTGCTTAATTTCTTAGGTACCTTCAGATTAAATAATTATACAGTGGTTTTATTTTAACTATACCTCTCCTTCAGTCAGGTAAAAATAGTATGCAAATGTTTTATCTCTCTCTCTAGTTGTTTTATAAATTTTAATCTTAAACACCTCTACAACGGACTGAATAAAATAAAATGTATTGTTATAGTGGGAACCTACCGCATCCGTGACCCCGAAGTTATCATGACTGTAGTTGATCAAGCCCTATCAGCTGGATATCGCATGTTTGGTAAGTTTACCATCTCTGCAACTGTACTTTTTAACTGTTTTATTTAGTTTGTTATATTTATTTGTGTGGGTCTTATTGAATGGAATTTTACCCCCTTCTGAACAACAGATCGATCTAGTATTTGTTACACACTCTTAATCTTGATGGCAATACAATATAATCCAATGTATTCTACAACTACCTCCATTACTCATTCTAACTCATTAAACTCATGACATGATTGTTATCAGAGATGTTGTGATGTTGATTGGTAGGTACTTAGTTACTTCCCATTTATAAAATAGGAACCTAATGGATTTTGGTATTTCATATTAAATAGATACCGCTGCAGTTTATCGAAATGAAGCCAGCCTTCGAGAAGCATTCAAGACCCTGCTTCCCAAACATGGATTAGAGAGAGATGACATTTTTATCACTACCAAGCTATGTAAGTATTCAAAGCTTTTTGTTATTTTGGAAATATAAAAGGTAGTCTCTACTACCTTTGTAATCTAAAAGAATATTCTATTGCACTATGTTCTTATTTATGTGTGTCATCTATAGATTATAAAAATGTTTTACAGCTCCTGCTGAACATGGTGGGTCTGAAGCCATTACAAGAGCATACAATCATTCACTTGAGAATTTAGGTTTAGATTTTGCAGATTTATATTTAATACATTTCCCTGGAACACAAAAATTAGCCGTGAATGATAAGAGAAATGCAGAACTACGGCTTACAACTTGGGCCAGCATGGTTGAACTCTATGATAATGGCCTTGTTAATGCTATTGGTGTTTCCAACTTTACTAAATACCACTTGAAGTTGTTGATGGAAAGGAACCACGGGGTAGTCCCCACTGTAAACCAGGTATGTCTTCAAAGGTATGAATTAACAAATTATTGTCATACAAATCACTAATTTTTTTTTATTTTCCTAAAGGTCGAGTGGCATCCTTTTTACTACCAAATGGAACTTCTTGATTACTGCAAGGCAAATGATATTGTGTTGCAAGCATATTGTTCACTTGGAGGAAAATCACAACAGAATGATGATTTGCTAACCCATCCAGAGGTAACAGGTATTGCTCGCAAGCTTGAGGTCAGTAATGCTCAACTTTTGTTAAGGTGGGCTTTACAACAAGATGTAGCAGTTATACCTAAATCTACCAATCCTTTGCACATCAAGCAAAATATATCTCTGAACTTTGATATTTCACCAGAAGATATGCACACACTCAGTAATCTTTCAACAGGAAAAACCGTTAAATATGCATGGGACCCCAACATAATTGTCTGAAATAGGCGATCGAAACGTACCTCGTCCAAATCTAAGGCAGGTACTAGTCGCAACTAAGTTGAAACTTCTGACAAAACTAAATGAGTTTGCTATTTGTCAGAGGAACTTGTTGTGTATGAACATAGTAAAATGAACTGTATTAAATTACAGTGTTCATTATTCGAGATTTCGAGTTACAATTAAAGACAAATTAAATTAAAATATATCTGTTGTATGTTTATGGGTTGCATAACTAGCAATTTTCATATCGTTTCTCAAAATTTTCGCTTTAAATGTTGCAATTGTCATTAGTTTTTTAATGTTAAATAGTTCGTTGTTGTAGTTCCGATTTAAAATATTATATTAAATTTCAAACTTAGAAGATTGAATTTAAGAACGTAGGCAGGGTTCGTTAAAACATGGGTACATTCTATAGCTAACATAAGATGATATTTACCTATGAGATAAATGATGTGGAAGTCTGCAAAATGGCAAATGGTTTTTTGCACTAAATTATATATTTCACGAATAGATGTGATTTAAATTGAATAAGCAAATAATGCTTTAGACGAAACTTACGAATAAGGATTAGAAAAGTACACATATCCATACAAGTTATATCTACACAAGATATTACATACCTATTTCTCGAAGACGAACATATTTGAAAGCTCGGTATATTAACTAGTTGTACGACTTTATATTCGGTAGGTAGGCACTTTAGGAATAACGTATCTGTGTTTAGGTAAGTCGATGTAAAACTTCAATGTTGTACTAACTAAAATGTCACATTTTATCTCATTGCTTGTTAAGAGAATCATTGAACTATTGATTTTTATATACATACCTGAATATTTATGTGTTGGGGTTGCGAAAAACGATGAAAATCATTTCCGTGCCCCTTTCGGATTTGATTAACAAAATGCTTCTTCATTATGAAAATTTAAAGGATTCGTTTATATGAGTGTTATTAATTAAGGGCTTGATTAATGTAAATTAATTGTAGATACATACGTAATTGCTACATAGCATAGATAATTGTCTGTTGTTAGATGAAATATTTATATATTTACACAAGTACCTAGTACTTATATGTTCTTTTGCCATATTTATATTTCTGTTAATGTTTACAAATGCGGTGGAGTTTGATCGATGGTATCTAATTTCCTTATACTTATAGGTAGGATTTCGTAGGTACCAATATGGGTACTGTATTTTAGGTATAATGAAGAAAACTTACTTTTTAAATGTTACTTGTTTTTAAGGTCTATCCCTTCTTTGGCTTTACGTAAAATATCTAATGTATACAGCAAAAGTGAATGTAAAATGAAAAAACTAATATGGTTCTAAAATGAAAATAAAGTGTCAAAATCTTATATGCTATGCGAACCGATTATCAGCTGAAATTAATGACTGATCCAATGTCTCCAATGTATGTGTTTTACTGACACTCAGAACTAATCTCAAAAATCGACTTGAGCAAAGTTGTGGGACCGAGATCGGTGTAATTAATTTCGGCAGTTAGTCGACTCGACTAGATGAGGGTTATTCGACTCGACTAATCCTCATCTAGTACCGATACGAGAATGTAGGAAATATCAGAGCAAACAAATTAATTGTTAATTCATTGTTCAGTACAGTCACTTTGGCTGTAACATGTAACTATACGAAAATGACTAAAGTACGAAGTGTGGACCACTACTAAAATATGAGCTTATACTCTCTACTACGGACTGATCTATCCTGAAATGTACTTGCGATGTTTCAATTTATTTGTCAAACTATCTCTCTCTCTGATGTGTGCGTTAAACGAATGCATTTTGTATTGTATGTAATAAGGCACAAATATCTGCGCAAGCGATGGTTTGTATTGTTGTTGAGTTTTGCTTGGCGTTGTGTGCGCTATGATATCGATGTATTTCGGTGCTTTTGGATGGCTAACCTACGGTAATACTCATTTATTTAACGTCTAGTAAACATCTAGATGTTGAGAGTTGACATCCATGTCAAACTGAGTAAATTATGTTTTGATTTTCCTATTCAAATTTTTTTAGCTCTTACAAAAGCATGGAATAAAAAGATATGTATATAAATTGTATACCTAATGGTAAATACTCATGTTAATATATTTTTGTCCATTTCTATTATTTATTGTACCTTAACATGTTGTGATAATGTACCGTTTCTGTTCAAAACAAAGCCGCTACATACTTGATTGTTATTTTTACGTTAATGCAAGAAACACATATAAAGTTAAATAAATGTCTAAATGTACAAACCTTGTTTACCTTTACTATCAGGTACCTACTTATTGATTCCAACATTCAAATAGCTGAATTCAGCATTTCATACGTACAGGGTATTTAGTTGAACAGTGGGACTTTCTATAAATACTTCTCCCAGGTTAGAAGCCACATATTCTGCAATCGCAAAAACTAGTTTCTCTTCTTTAAGGCACTTTAATAACATAAGTTTTTCAAATGATGTCAGTTTAGCGTCCCAGTTTACCATCGGTGCCACAAAGTTCGTTTTGTCAATGTGGATGTCCTAAAAATATCATATTAGTAAGTAAAATAAAACCAGACAGGGCCGCCCTAATGACCCTAGAATAGTTTCTATTGCGCAGACCATATTATAATTACTAGTACATGTACACTAAGCGGCTTAAAATCATTCGTATCACTTACTGGCAACCCGGCCCTACTTCGCACTGGTGTTATTTAAAACGGACCGGACGAGAAGTAGCTGTATCCAGAAGGTACGACAGGGTGTGCTTTCTGGCTTTCTTTACCTACACCTAAGAGTTCGATCTGCTTTGCATGGAAGGAGGCATCCTTCCATGACTTTATTTCTACCTACTATTTTCTAGAGAACAGTCGACACTTCGACAGTTACAGGTCGCCACCGTAGGTACTCCTACGGTGGCGACCTGTATATGGGAGCACGACGGTGTTTGAGTGACCCATGCTACGCATTCGCGTGTTTTAAGAATAAGGTCTCATTACAATAATAATATTTAATATCACCAGACACCCCATAGGCCATTACTTCCGTCAGATGTCTTAAGAATACAAGAAATACCTCTCCGCACCTGTTCAATATTTTAATGATCTTAATGTGACTAGAGTTGGGTACTTACCGCAGAGAAATTTCCGATCGTAATATAAATTCTTTTAAAACAATCATCAACTATTCCTGCAAATCGAGGATCAGTTTCATTTAAATGGTTGATGGCTAACCACATGAGTTCAGTCATTGCTTCGATTGATGGCTTTTTGGGTGGTACCTGGACATAGAAATTAAATTAGTGGGATTACTTCTCAAATCGATGCTGTAAAAAGTTACATTTAAACCAAAACGTCTACTGGTTATAATTTACTTACGATCTTCCTTTTTACTTTGCTTAGTATTAAATAATAAATATGGCTAAATAGCCATAGTTACTTTATCCGCATAGAGGCAGGGATGAGACATTGCTCAAAGAAGTAGGTACACATAGTGAAATTTTGCGTTAATTGCCGTTACTTATTGCCACTACACAGTGAGAAAGAACGTACTTATAATAAAACGAAGAATATCCAAGCGTGCCGTGGACGTGCATACGTATTTAAAATAAAGGGAAAATATCGCACAGGTTTTACTAACCACAACTGTACCAGCTGCGCCACGTAAGATAAAGTTCCACTGTTCTGCTGTGATAATCTCTGTATTTAAATACACAGCCATGTTTAGGAGGAAACTGAAAACTAATTTGTGTCGTTCAAAAAGACCTCTGGAGACGTTGCGATACACAGACAATGTTATCTCGTTGCGGAGAATTTCCAGCCTGGTTTCAAGAATGTCACATTTTTCGGCTTTTTCTATAACTTGATTAAATACCTGCAAAGAAAAGCAGCAATGACAATGTTTTTGTAAAGGTATATTTTAAGTAGGATACGAACCCACGTACCTATAACTGTAAGTTATGTACCTTTATATTGCTGTGTTTACCTTTGATATCAATGACAAGCAGGTATAATCCTGGCAACAGAATCTAACAGGTGTAACCTGCCAGATTTGTTGCCACGGGTAACTTACCATGTGTTATTTAAAGGGTTTACTCGCAACAAGTTTCATTCAATTTGATATCACTTAAAGAAGCCTTGAACTGATATATCTGAATACTATTTTAGCAACAAGTAGCAAGGCCTGACATGTAAAATAAAAGAATACTTGCCTGGTTAAAATACTTCAGTGAGAATTGGTACATAGGATCGATATCTGCTAATTGTGCTACAGCGAAATATAATACAGCTCCTCGAGTCGCCACGGTTCTATACTTTTCGCGCGCCGCCGATATGTTTATCTCCGTAGCTTCAGTTTCTTCAAGACGAGCATTAATTATTTCAGCAGTTTCCTAAAAAACTTTAAATCATGAATATCTGGTGATTTGTGGAACAGGGTTTACCTACAACAGATATCGGTCTCAGGTTTAATTGTAAAATTGCTTGCTATATATTGTTGTAAATGATGATGAGAGAAATAAATGAATATAATATTATTATTTGCGTACAATTGAGCTTTAGACAAGACGCAAGTTGCGTGACAAAGCGAATTATGTGAAAATGTCTTTGTCTCGGAACAGGATGCATTTCCTGAGCTCAGCGTGGGTTCAATTGTTACCTAATTCTTATGGCAGTTACCATTAGGTCTGGTAAAGTGCATCAATTTTGTTTACTGACCTATATTGATAATGCAACGTTTAGGAGATAATTTCTAGAGACGGTCGGTATAGTCGGTTTACGTAAACGTAAACGCTAAAATTAGCTGAAGAAACCCAAAGCATTAAAATATAATACCATACTCCTGTAGTAGGTACAATATTCTCACTTCTAAAAATGAAACAACCCCGACACAAAATTTTCCTTACATCATTTCCATGATGATTTCTTTCACCTACGGTAGTACTCCAAAAGCGGCTTCACGGCACAACATCGGATAGATGTTGAGGTTGCTGATGTGTCTTAGTTATTTTCTCAAAATCAACTATTCAGTATTCGCTTGTAACTGAAATACCCTAAGAAATAAGTACCTAAGTACTTAGTTACCTCGGTATATGATTTTACATTTAACTGCCACTTTACTCGGGTGCTTTATTCGCTAATTTAAGCGTTTGCAAGTGCTAGCAAACGCTTAAATTAGCGAATGTTTTATTAAACTTTCCTTTTTAAAATAACATCAATTATTATGATTCGAAAATCTAGTACTCTCAGGTGTCTAACAATAAATTCCTTTTCCTCTCAAAATTATGAAATTATGACTAGTTTCTACATAGCTGTAATTAGTTATGGGTTAGTATTTATTTATATATTATAGCTCCCAATCCAATAAAACCGATAACTTTAAACCAGAGCCGAAAAGTGACTGTTAAAAATCGAATATACATCCATTTATAGCTGTCAATAAATTATTACAACACAATAACCTAGCTACCAACGTGAAGCAGTACAATAGAAATGTACCTATCAAAGAGTGGCATAAAAAGGGGTGGGTAGATGAACACTCGCCACGGGCCTACATTTCATGCAGCCCTGACCTTGCATGAGGAATGAAGTCACGTTAAAGTTTCCTTCAACAATTTATTACACAGAACAAGTCCAGTGATTTAGCATGTTGTGTTTATCGTTTTCATGATGATTAAGTGGTATGTATTTAAATACTAGAGAGTCAGCAATCAAGAAGGACAATCAATACCAAATTGTTCTTCTACCTAACGGGTAACCGGGGCTCCGGCTCGACGTGCAGGAGAAGGAACGGGGTGGTTTTTAGTCATTAAGAGTCTGACCCGCCTGGGTGAGGCGGGAGGAGTCAATCGTTTCCCCCCTTAAAAAAAACCCTGGAAATACTAGAAATCGTTATTAATTGTGTAAACATGAGGTTATATACCTATTCACCAACGGGGACGGGAGGGGAGAGACCACAGCTTCATCGATACATATTGTTAAAGTTTTTTAATGCCAAATATCGACCAGATGAAAACGGGTCATTGAAACTGTTCCGCGAAGGCACAGGTAAGGCCCACGGTACGGTATTCTGAGTATCCAACCCACCCCAAATTCTAATTCTAGCGAAAACGACCTTCTCCTACTTGCTCTCACAATTCCTTAAAAGACATCACTATTTTTGGATTTCTTTAGGTATTGTTGGATAGTTGTAACTTTATATTAAAAACTTATAACCATATATAATATAAACTTATAATTACATAATAATGTTATGCAAGTGTGTGTTATGCACACATAACACACACTTTTACACACAGGGTATGAAAATTAAAAATCGAATTAGTTCGTCAGTTAGGTAGGTAATGAAAAAATATTAGACATGTATTTTTTATTTTGTCGTCAATGAAAACAATACTTAGTTAACGAATCAAAGTTTAGGAGTAGGAGGTAGCTAAGTCATTTTGGGGTTTTGATCGATATAAATCGTATACAGAAGTGACGTCATACGATATTTCAAATCAATGCATCGTCGAAAGTATGCGTTTCCAAAGAAAAAATACGTGTCTAATGTTTTTAAATAATCTACCAGACGGACATTGAAATACAAATTGGTCATCTACCCTATTATTCCAGGTCAAGAATTTCGGTATTTAATTAATCAATTTTCCTTTTCCAACCCTGATGGTTCCATGTAATGTAGCACTTAGCCGTTCAACCACATTAAACATGAAGTAATGTTTGTTTTGTGTCGGGGTTAATATTATTAATAATGATATGATCTTACTTTACTCTCGTTGAGTGTTTCAATCAGTTCCTCGTCATCCAAAATGTTCCCAGTAGAAGCGTAAAGTAATCTCAGGATTTTGTCTTCGATCTCAAGTAGCGATGCTTTGTCCGTATTGATACGAACAATCAGCTCTGACCGCAATATTTCAAGGTCTGGACGCTCTAGTCTCACTACATCACTAGTAACAAAATAATAAGCATCCTTTACTACTCAGTAAATCGTCAATCATGTAAAAAATAGTCGTTCTTCAATAAGCAAATGATGTCATAAATCTCGGGAAAAGAAGTTATGCTGGGAGTTTTTAAATAAACGTTTGCCCCACGCTAGGCTTTTCTCCTGTGTCGTTGGTGCATTTCCAAACATACAAGTTCACAAACCTACACATGACGCCCAGGCCCGGCACAACAATCTGTGGATCACACAAAGAGTTGTTCCGTGCGGGAATCAAACCCGCGACGCGTTGCAAGGCATCCGGTTGCCCAGCCACCATACCAACCGTGCAGTCAAATTGCCTACCAAGTTCTATTTATACCGAAAAACTAAAATTTTAAATTTTTGGAAAATGTAAACAGTAAAAATAAATATAGGTACTAACGCCAGTAATTGGTCTTCGAGACCGGACAACGTGACTGTAAAGTTGACGAGGGTCACTTGAATGCAGATTTCCGGCAAGTAGTGTGGGTTAGCTAGCTTCGTCGTGAGGTACAGACGGAAATTCGTATCATATTCTATATCACTGTCTCCCAAATGAATGAGTAGTCTGCCAGCCTGTTGGAACATCGGTTACAATTATTATTTCGTGTTAAAAATGCTTTCAAAAACGCTAATTTCTGAAAGATGGATAAAAAGTCGGTCTCTTTATATTAATAACTAGCGACCCGCCCCGGCTTCGCACGGGTGCAATATGCATGTATTATACATACAAACCTTCCTTAAGAATCACTCTATCTATTAAAAAAAACCGCATCAAAATCCGTTGCGTAGTTTTAAAGATCTAAGCATACATACGGACATACAGCGAAAGGGACTTTGTTTTATACTATGTATTGAAGTAATTGGAATAAATAAATAATTCTATATTAAACTGTCAAACACCAAGCGGTCACCGGTGACCGCAACCTAATGTTCTATAATTGTGTCTACAAAACCGGTACTCGACGAGTTAATAGAGATTTCAATTTCAAATCCTTTTAATGACGAGGTCAAACAGATTATTATACTTTTAACTTAAATGAGGTCAACATGTTAAATAATTTGTTTAGTTGGTAAATGTTTTAATATTCACACTTGTCATCTTATTATTAAGTAAAGACGAAAGATTCTGTTAAGTACCATTATTTTAGGGCGATTTTATACGTGATCTGTATGGTACATAATAATAATATAAGTATATTTTTAAATTCACGTCACCTGAAGAAAAGTTTGCTTCAGAAGCACAGGAGCTAAGGTAGCATCAAGCGACTCCCCGAGGTCCTCAATAAGCATTGGCCAACCTAGCCGAATGCAATTCTCGAGGACTCGAAGGTATCCCGCGTCTATTAGTTTTGTTATCATTAGTCCATTTTCTTTCTCCATGTTTCGTATCCACCTATTAGCCTGCGATAACACCGAAATATTTAATAAAAATATACTATGATTAGCTACTTCCGCGCGGTTTCACTCGCTCTGCTCGGCGCCTATTAATCGTAGCGTAATATTTTATAGCCTATAGCCTTCCTCGATAAATGGGCTGTCTAACACAGAAAGAATTTTTCAAATCGGACCAGTAGTTTCGGAGATTAGCGCGTTTAAACAAACAAACAAACAAAAAAACAAACTTCAGCTTTATAATGTAAATATAGATAATCTTTCCATTATCAGATATCATGTAAAAGCTAATTGACGTCAAATCAATCTAAGAATAGAAAGCGTAGCAGTAAAACAATAATAATTACTGAAGTTATTGCTTACACTCTTCTCAGGATTGTTTTTCGCTTTTGTTTTATGAAACCTGATTCAGAAAATACTCCTACTCCTACATAAGTAGATTTCTTAAGGATAACAACATAAATCATTACAAATCTGTTTTAGGGACGTGATGTTTTGTCTGCTTTAGTAATCTGAAAAAAAAATTAAAACATAATATCGCGATACCAATTCAGTAGAATAGGGTGTTAAGCTAACTCTAGAACATTCTCCACCCTTACCTGTACCATTAAATAAAGCTACGCGTGTATAGGTATCAGATTTATATACAGAAGCTGTGTGATTATGTGAGAGAGCAGGAAGGGCATATTCTTCTGTCTCATTTGCATTTGTGCTGCTATTCGTATTAAATCATAATAATAAGATAAATATATACCTGTTCCTGTGGATCGATTGTGAGAGGCCATCGCCCGGCTCTTGTCACCAAAATGCCATTCTCTGTAGATATTGCATCACGCGGCAATCCTTGCGAATTCCATGTCCTTACTGTGTATGAGTCAGCCATTACGGTGATCAGACTGATAACAGATTATAATTAGAAATAAATACTTAAAATATAAATACAACTTAAATCTCTCGACGGTCAAATAGTCGTAAGTTTGGACTGCCGGAATAGTTCAAAAATTCGATTGATTATGATGATTTCATAGGGATTTTTTGTTAAAAAAAGTTCTTCAACAACACTGAATTTGAAGTGTCGCTCAGTGCATAGAATCAGGCCTGGCTCTTTTAGAATGAGTAAATAAGATACGCGTAAAGTGTGATTTATACTGATTCCACTTCTTATTGTTGTTGGTAAAACATATAGGTATTATGAATCAAAATTATTTTCCAAATAAATATATTTAATATTGCTTGACCTTTTGGCCTATACTACTAAATGAAGTAAGTACTGTAAGGATCTTTGACTTTTTTTAAATTGAGTATGGTTGAGGGAGCTCTACTGGATAATAACAAGCATTAAACAAAAAGTCGCCCAAATTCCCTGACATAGATGAATACATTTGCCCTTAAACAAGTGGCAGGTACTCGGAGGTTGCAGCGAATATCGATCAGGGCTTATGATTCGTGTTAGTGTGAGTAGACTGAAAATAAAAGCATCGGAAGCTGAATGTCGAACACTAGTGCATATTTACTCACACAGACGTTCTATGACCTGATATTATTATAGATTTATTGAATATGGCTGTCGAGTTTCGGCATCGGTATCTCTGTGATCTCACTACCACATGCAAAAACTAGGGGGGTACCGCGACCAAGGGGTGCATATAAGAGTGTTGCATAGCAACAATTAGGCTTGTGTGCGTGACCTGAGTACTGTTGGAATGAGAAGGGAGGTGGGAGGGACACGAGTTTGGCTGTCGCGGCCCGGGCAGGACTATAGTCAAAATGTTTAGGCTAACTAAATAACTACTAGTGTACCATTTCATTTCCATATACAATTACTGTTTGGTGACAAAGTTTAAAAACAATACTATCTGTATTCCTATGTGAGTTGTTGGTTCACATATCCTCTTATATGGTCTTGTCTTTAGTTATAGAAATACTTACTCGAAAGTCTCGGAAGCCGGTATTTTCAATTCCTTGCACTGATCTATCCATTTGACTACTAATTCCCGCCTGTAGTTTGTTGGAAAGGCGCCGAAATAGGCGATACAACCAGATGCTATAATAATGTCGCCGGTAGTACAATGCAATGCTTTCGACGCCGCCTGTTGAATGTATTCAGATCTGTAGTTGGCATCACCAATATCAATAGTCCTTGACAGATAAAAAGAAAGAACGAAAGAAAAACTATTTATTACGCCACGACAACGGTTAACAGTTTGCTATAATGTCCACGCTTGTCAGGCCGGTTGGAGATTATAGTTTAAAAAGGTTTATTGGACAGTGCTCCTGTGCGATCTCTGTCAAATGCGCAGTTATTAATTTTGTTGGCCCTTTTATTTGTTACCATAAACTGAACTGAACTCAGTAATAGGCTATTACGCACTTTCTGAAAATTGATTTAAATCAATCTTGAAGTTGTGATGAATAATTTTGATGAAACAGAATAACCAGCATTTCAAATAACCTCTTCAGCTTTATTTATTACCGTAGGTTTATTGATACCTTAACACTGTCTTCCCAGCGAGTTTGTTCGTCCGCCAACGCTTGAGTTAGCCTTCCGGCACGGGATAAGCGCGCGGCCGCCAAGTCTACGTCAGCTTGTAATCTCGTGCGTTCGTCTTCAACAACCTAATTTTTTATCAATGCATTAGATAATGCTGAATTATTACTAAAATAATAAACTTTCAAGTAAAAGATAAAGTTTACATTCCTTCATAGAAATAGAAAAAAGTTCTTAATGATTTCCTTGGTCTAAGTTATTGGAGTTACTTAAGAATATGAAAAACGCCGAAATATAAAAAAAGAAATATAAAGAAATAATAGAAGTAAGAATAAATTTAATATTACTATACTATTTATCTATATAAATACTTAAATGTTTACGTGGAAGGGGTGGCAATTGGCATGTATTGATTTCTACCTTCCATGGGTTTGGGTTAGGGAGGTAGTGCATCAATTCAACTCATCGAGTGCGTATGTAGGGATAGGTCGGTGCTATGTTGTATTGCATCTCGCTTGTGTACTTTGAGTGAGGCAGACAGAGCCATTGATCAGAACTTTAGAAGCTCCGCCCATGGCCCTGCATTAACAAGCAAGAGTGAGTTGGGATAGCCCTTTGAGGTTCTGTACATTCAAATTATTACAGAAAGCATTTTTTACAAAAGATGTTGCTTACGACGTTCTGATTGTACAAATATTTCGGTCTCTACCATGAACAAGTTATTGACTATTCTACAGATTCCATATGATACTCGTAAAGTAGTATTAATCCAGGTTATTGTCTGTGTTAATATTATTAAATATAAAATGAATAGGACGAACAATGATGAAAAGTTTTCAACCAGAATACTTAGAAATAAGTGACATACGTTCAGGTGTTGCGCTATCACAGATATTATACTAATATGTCACAATTCAATAAAAAAACTTATTTAGCGTCCGCGATCAAAATTCCGTTTTAGGTATTTATGAACAGTCGAGATATTAAATAAATGATGGTGTTTTGCAGTTTCAAGGGATTATAAATTGTGATGTTTCTTTCTTACGTACTTTCCATTTGATATTCGCTTGTTCTCAATATAGAAGTCATTATAAAGGTTCCGTTCCCCCTTTTCAAATATGGAACCCTAAAATATACTTGTTATACATACCTTCAGTTCGTTCATCATTTTAGCAAGTTGAGCTTCAATAGCTTCTACTTCTTTCTGTTTGGCCCTGAGTACAGCCATTACATTCTTCAGGATACTAGCCGCTTCTTTATGCCTGTGAAAATAAAGTAATATTTACTTACAGATCCGTATACAATGGGATGTATACATTTTACTATTATAAGTCTTGCCTTAAATAATAGTATTTAGTTAATAATTGTATTTATTACAAGTCCCTAGTGATTTTAAATGATGGTTTATAAGAAAATTTCCAGAAAATAAAGGGCCAGACGAGCGGATTCAGCGGAAGTCGGGCAATATTTTCCCATGTTTACTAGTACGCCGTACCGCGTGGACCTAGCCGCACGTGTTTGCGCTACCGGGATATCATTTTCGCGCCGAGCGTACGCTTGTTTCTGGCAGCGTTAGTAGATCATGTTCAAAATGCTACAGTATGACCATTTAGTGGTCAATGAGTTGTTAACTTTTGTACAATTCGAGCTTGAAAACACAGAGGAAATATTCGTGAAATTAAAATGCTTAGAAAATTATGATGAACATGAGATATTGGAAGCAAGAACATTGCTTTATAGATTGTTGAATGTGGAGGCGGGGTTTACAAGTCATTATAACAAAGAATCTAACTTGGAAGACATATTTAACTTATTGAAGAAAACTCCGATACACGAGCAACCTGTATTTGTCGCCAGAAATTGGCGCAAAATGCCTCATGCATATGACAACATATTGATTTATACTTTGCTGGGCCGCATAGAGCAGCTTCAAGGGCTATTAAGGTATGTTCTTAGTTTAAGAAAGGCAGAGCGTAATGCTGCAATGGCTAGAAAACGACAATATGAACAAAATAAAAGATTTGGAAACCATCGTTTTCAGTTTCCTATAATGCAAGTAGATCAAGCAACTGCACCGCACCCAGTGTCAGTAACGATTTCGACGAGTTCTACGTTCTCCGGGACTTCTACGAGTGTTAATACCTTGTCCGTTGTCTATACGGAAATACCAGCACTGCCATGCTCCACATCATTTCAATCTTCGTTATATTCAAGTGCTGATTCTTCATCTATACCGAAAATGCCCATGAGTGCGATAGTAGGGCAACCATCAGAGAAGTCAGCTTTTTGTAAAGTTATAGGGAGTTCTAGACGTCCCAAAACTTCTATACTTCCACCAACTACTGTCGTTACAAGCATTGCAGCCACGATCCGGAAAACTACCATGCCCAAAGACTCAGTAATTACAAAGTTAATGTCATCTTTAAAGCCAGCAGTAATGACCTCAGAAATACCTACGATGACTTCCGAACTAGCGAGACCAGTTACTATTTCAACTGCATCGACTTCCAAACAAGCGACAACATCAGTATTTCCAAGGATCCTTACGTCGTCAGGATCAGTTTTGTCCCAAGTAGAACCTGATTTAGCAAGATGGTACGAAGGGGTTTCAAAGATAGAAACGTCTCCCGTATGGCTCGCTAATAAGCTATCGCCAACTAATGCAGTTCCACAAATTGGGGCAAATTGTGCAATGTCGACGTCTTATCAAATAGCAACGACATCAAGGGTCCAAACCACTTTCAAAGCACCGATCACTTCAGAAATCCCAATGAAGCCGTCTTCTGAAAGACCTATGCATCTGATAAATAGTGAATACCGTGAGCAGATAGCGAAATCTCAGTTTCGTCCCATCGAAACACCTATGCAACGGCACTTCATAAATCCACGTTAAATGGTACAACTGCATCTCCCCTGTCTTTCCCGGAACCTGAACTGTGAAGGATTCGTAGTCCAGAAGGAAGATCTACGAAAATCAGAGCATCGTGTATAAAAAGGGAGTGTCCAAAAATTCAAGTAAGACTTAAGTACTTTATGATAGTTTTATAGTCTTAATAATAAATGTTGTAATTTTAAGTACGTGTTTAAAAAACTATAATTCATAATCACGTATTTTTGAGTTTAGTGTTAGATATAATGAAGATAAACAATGTAACTACATTACTAGTGTTTTTATTTTCGTTATTGTGTAGTTATTTCTAACATAATACCATAATTAGTATACTTAATGTCAGCGTCATGCTTTGGCACCTCGACTGGACAAATAATTAACAAACAATCCCCAATCCCAGTCCCAAATCCCAATATACATATCCAAAAGGGCAGCAATGCCTTTGTAAATCCTCAGGTGTTGCGGGTATTTATGGGTGGCGCCGATTGCTTGTAGCCAAGTGATCCGTCTGCTCATGTGCCGACCATATTTCGTAAATAAATATATGTTTATAATGGTATCATATCATGGCGATCATGCAATAGTGCTGAAGTAATGAAACGAGAAATTTGCTTAATATTGATATTACAAATCTTCTAGTGTTTCTGATTTTATATAAGAAAATACATACATTTTCCAGTTTATAAAATTGTGTGGTACTAAATAAAATTAAATGTGAATTCCTTTATAATTGTAATTTGTGTGAAGTTAGTCCTCTGTGTGTATCAATCATGTATTCGATTAATGTATTGGACTCATATATTTACATTGTATTTTAACTTTTGCAGTTTATACTTATTAAGGATTTTGACTGTTATCTTTTCAATTTTAATAATATTATAATAAAAAACAATAACGCTTACACCAGTAATAAATACAATTTAATACTGTAGGTCAGTACCTACTTTTTAGGTTATTTGAAATAAATATTAATAAAGTATTCTTAATGTTATACTTTTATATAAAATTATTGTCTTTGGCATTTATGGTTTTCGATAAATGTATTTAATTTGATTTGTTGGTAAAATCATATTATAATTCGGAAAGCTGAAAGTAAGTTTAAATAAGAAGCTTATTACCGGCTAACAAGGGTGATTTGAACCAACGAATTTCTATTTTTAAACTCTTTAGTCCAACAAAATTGCTTCAAAATGTGTTAGATAAGTAAATGTACATATTATTGATTATTACTATAAAGTAAATGTAATCACTCAATGTATTTAATCTATAACGGCATTTCATTAATAATATTAGTAGGGATGACTTTTTCTGATGGCAGTATAAGGAAAATATTAGAGAAATGTTTCGTGTTTACGGCATACAATACCTACGTAAATTTATATTGTAGAATACGTGGAAGAAGTGAACGTCCACTCTTACATTATATAGGTACATTTTAATTAATAAATTAATATTTGTCTTTAAATGGACTTCTTTGTATACATTTATCATCTTTATCACATAATCATTTTTATGTAACCATATTTAAAATTCGTCAACATTTTAATGATTAATATCGATGTAATTTATATTTAAATATTGTCTCTGTTTACGCTCAATAAATGTCTATAATCAGAACGCTTCTCCTGAGTTTATTTGTAAAAGATCCTTATATCCTTTTATACCTATACAGAGAAACCAGATCGCTTGGCCACCACCGCGATAGGGGTGCGCGTAGACAGTACCTAGGTACCTACATGGTTATACCAATATAGATATTATTACCTATGTGGGTTTGTGGGGAAAATCGATTTACATTTCGCATTTATGAATAGACTCGCCGTTTGTCTGTTCCATTTTCATTTCAAAGATGATTACAACTGTTTTGATTGAATTAAATGTTTCATTTTTTAAGTCTTCTAAAACTTATTTTAGCAAGCGTGGTAGTCACCACGCGTTACCAGTTAATTACCAGTCGGTAATTAATGCTCATGCCACACCGGAGTGAGAAGATTTCTGTGATCAGCAGAAGCTTTCTAGATATGCCTATAAATTGACTATTAATGTAATTGCTAGATTAGTAGGTACCTACTTGCGAAACATTTTAATATTCTATTAGAACATTTTCCTTAAACAAAGAACTCTAATGGAAGTATCTTAAAAATCACATAATTATGATGATGATGGTGGATGGCAGGATGGTAGACCACGGGGCGATAGCAGACCGGAATTTATTGCCGCTTGGTAAGTTTGTAAGTATGTATTACTGAATAATATCACGCTTACTGCCCGAAACAGTGTCTACAGTAAAAATAAAGTAAATAAAAAAAAAATAAAAAAATAAGTACTTAACATGTTCATAAGTAATTAATAAACATTATTAATTATTAAACACAGACAAAAGTTTGAGCGTTCTATTTGAGTAGGTAAGCAGAAATAATGAAGTGCTTGAAAAAAACGTGATGTGTGAATTATGTCCTGTGTTCATTGTATGACTATAAGCTAATGTGAGAGTTTTGTTTTAACTAAAAATCGCAGCTTACTCACTATCTCACTCGAAAATAATGGCAAAAGCTCTACTAGTTTCAAGCCACAGAGAGGCTCTGTCTCATAAGTAGTGTGCCCGGTCGGGGCGATGTCGCCTAGGCTACTGGCTAGCGTTGGTGTTGATTCTTGGGTTGCGAGTCCATCGCGCCCTCTGCCGAAAATCATGCGCGTTTGCTTCCAACTCTGGCGGTAGCGCGAGCGACGTTATTAAAACGCAAGCTAGGTTCATTAGTGGCATGGGTAGTGGTTTTGAGTCACAAAGTCAGGGCCTACATGCAGTGCTTACTATGTCACACTCCAGACTAGAAATGCTCTGGATCGACATAAACTTCAAGTTCAGCTTCCATGCGGGTACCTGTGCCCAGCCACCATTGCTGTTGATGGCCTCCCGCACTTTTTGCGGAACGAAGTATTTTTCCTTCGCTAGTACGGAGACCCTATCAAAACGTATGAAGTGAGCTGCATCCGTCCCGCAAACATGCACAGATTGCACAGCCACTGCTGATGTTTGGATATCCATCTTCTTCACGGTACGTGTATGTCCCTTTAGCCTGGTCGTGATGTTGTGACAAGTTTCCTCGATGTAACTCTAACTGCTCGATGCCAGATAGAGCTCGAGATCGACTCACAGTCGCATGGAATATGTACACTCCGGACCCAGCGGATGGATCCTTATCCTTAGGTGAGCGTAACAATTGTCTCACCTGACTGTGTGGGCTGAAGATCGTCCTGATGAAATATTTACGGCGCAGCAGGTGTTCGATTCTGTCGGTAACTCCTTTTGCGTATGGTAAGAACGCTAGACTCCCTTCCGCAACTGCCGGTCGTTTCGAGTACGAAGTCGAGCTGCTCGCTAGTCGAGTGCATTGACGCCAGTTGTAGCCATTGAGTTTTGTATTGTTTGTGTGTTAATTGTGAATATATACTATGCCTGGTTTTCAATGTGATTTGAACAAAGACACTGCTGCTAGGTCAGTTGCTCTGCTTCAAGAGGGAGAGTTTTAGAGAGTTGTAACAATTTGTGATAATGTATCGCAAGGAGATATCCGAAACGTGTGGAAGTGCCTGCGAATGTCTGGGATACGTAAAAAAATCAGAACTATACCTAAAATTACGTACAACGACCAGATTATTAGGTTTTAGCTTTACAAAAATCCAATACCGCATTCTGCCGGTACTTATGCCATTGATCAAACCAATCTCAATCAATTCTAGGAAGCCCAACGTTGTAAGTAAGTTGTTTTTACCGACTTCAAAAAAAGGAGGAGGTACTATGTTCGGCTGATAGTTTTTTCTGTTTCTTTTTTGTTTGTTCGCGCAGTATTCCGCCATTTGTGAACCGATTTCCAAAATTCTTGTTTTGTTTGAAAGGGTATACCCCCGAGATGGTCCCATTTCCCATTTCATTTAGGTATAGAGAAAGAGGGGTACTTTCGAAAATTCTATGGGCGAGTAATGCGTCTATTTTTGTTTTTCAATTAGGACTTTTAAACACTACAATTTGATAAGGGTCTGGAGTTGACCTGATGATGTAGCCGACAGACAGTCGAGGGAACTCCTCAGCGGTTTATATTAACTACCTTGTGTTTGCGCTTGATTAATTTGTATTGATGAGGACTTTACACCTAAATAGGGCTGTCATTAAGAGTCTGATGATGAAGAAGTGTAATTGTTAAGGGAACTCCTCAACGGTATACTGTAACTACCTTGTGTTTGGACTTGTATAATTTGTATTGATTAGGACTTTGCAACTATGTAGATTATCAGTAACAAAACGGGTACATGTAGCTTTTCACTGAAAATGATAAAATAATAAAATATAAACTGCGTTTAAAAAACCGACTTCAATAGTTCAAAAATTAATAACAAACAAAAACTCAAAACTAAAAAGCAAAAAATAACTATTATTAGTACTGATAGGTTATCCACCCACTGATAGATTAGAACTATTAGTTTTTGGTTTTTTGAAGTAGGTTTTTTAATGACCGGAGCTCAGCATGTAGCTCGTTTTAGATGTAATCACAACATGAATACTGGAGGACTTTACTCTTCAGGGAGAAAAAATACGTTAGGTTTTGGTGACATAGTGTTGTGAAACAATGAACGATTTATGGATACTTGCGTCCATGGAACTAATCATAATATTTCAACTAGGGAAACAAAATTGGTTGGGACATTATGGACTTAAGTAGAATTCGCTTAGTAAGCTAGAGAGTTGATAATTCTGAATAAGGTCTATATATCAGCTGGGAGTTACATTGAGTGAGTAATCCGACCTCATGACATTGCATATCTATAAAAAGTAGGTGATAGTTTGGTGTTAATGTAAGGCAATATTTGTTTATAAACAACCAGTTCGACGAAAAAGGTCTTTTAAATATTAGAGTTCTGCCGTGTACTCCAATAAGACCTAGTCTTCAAATTATTGAAAATTAAATAAACAATCATATCATCAATAAACAATCAAATCAAACAGACAAAAGTCAAATAAACAATCGACAGGCTCCATAAACACGCTTAACACGCTTAAGGCTCATGAGAACTGCTACCGGAAATATTGGTCACTATAGTCAGAATTTTAATTAGATTCCAGATTTGACATTAGCTACTGTCATTTTGTGAAATAATGATACTACATATAATAGTGTAGTGATGAACACAAAAATCGATAACCAATCAGTGTGTGTGTTTTATAATAAATGTTACAGAAAGTGACAGGATAGCGATAGCGATGACGGCGACAATTTATAAAATAAATTATTACTATAATACATCTATCTGTTTTATTTGTCATGTTCTTTCATGAGTACATTTTTTTATTTATTTCACACACAATTATAAAAGGAAAGTCTCAGATCGTTAATTTATCGTCAAAACTAAATTATCGGTTCAGAAATATTTAATTTCCTGATATACTTAGTTTACGAGAGTAAAATTATAAAAGAGAAGAATCGATCCAGAAATATTCCATTTCCATATCGAATAATTTCGCAACGTCACTATTTAGTACTTGTCATAACGTTGAAACACTAAAATTGTCAAATTTGGAATCGAATTAAAATTCCGAGTATAATAAATATAACAATATTCAAACAATAGTCACAAAAAAAAAGGTTTGATAATTTCATTACCGTTACTTTGGTACTATTTCCCTAAAAAGTATATTCCATGGGTACCTATTTTATTAAAAATCTTTTGAGACTCAGTCGACAAATTATTACTTTAAGAATTAAAACTTAGAAGTATATAGTTACTCGGTATGTAGGAGTTTTGCCAAAAATAATTAGTTAGCAACCATGTTTTTCAAACTATTAATTATCACACAAAAATATTTTCGTGTTCAATTTTGTCGATATGGGACCATATACAAATGTCAAAAAGTAATCAGATCTCGCGTGAAGCCATGTTTCTAAACCTACTTGCTCAGTTACAAATCCTAAATATTAGATGTGGCAAAATACTACGGCCGCAGCATGTAATACGTAGCTTATAGTGCGCAGTTTACAACGTGTAGCTCGTGCCGCGTAGCTCGTAGCATGTAGCTCGTAGTTCATAACGTGTAGCTCTTAGCTCGTAATAAGCTTGTAGTTAGTAGCTCTTAGCACGTAGCTTGTAGTACGTAGCTCTTAGCAAGTAACTCGTGCGTAGTTTGTAGATGCGTAGCTCGCATAGCTCGTAGGGTGTAGCAATTAGTGCGTAACTTGTAGTACGTCGGCACGTCGCATGTATCTCGCAGTACGTAGCTTTTAGTACGTAGCTAGTAGCGTATAGATCGTAATGCGTAGATTATTGTGGAGGAAGGTAAGGAAGAGGTATCCTTTTATCTCTGGAGGGGTAGGCAGTGGTGCACGTGCCCAGCAGTCGCACTTGCGACTACTCGGCCAACGAGGTAGTCAGTCAGCAGGCAGAGAGCAGTTATAATTAACTTATACTAACGAATTTTTGTTATGTCGTTCATATTTCTTTAGTTATTTTGAGTGTACTTCTGGTACATCAGAGGCCTTGCCTTCTCAAAATCCATTCTATATCCTTGCCTTTTTCGTTGGGTTACCGTTTATAATTAGCGATAGATCATGCTGATAATTGGAATAATAACCTATATAATAATTATAGTTGAATATAATATAACTGTCAAACACCAAGCGGTCACCGGAGACCGCAACATATTGTTCTATAATTGTGTCTTTAATGACGGTACTCGACGAGTTAATATAATTGTACAACAAGCAGCTACTGTGTACTACTGTATACAGTCAATATTTATAAGCAATTAATATATTATATTTATAAGCAATAACCTTGCAATTTAGTTACATTAGACAGAGAAAGAGCTTCGTCATAAGCCTGTCTACAAGAGAAAACAGATGACCCGATATTAAAGTGAGCAGTATTCCCTTGTTTTTATGTAATAATATGGTGATAGTATTTGCGATACACATTGGGACCTGTTCTTGGTCAAAGAACCCCCTGTTGAATTTAGAAAGTAGGTCGGAAATAACTTTGATGATTTTCAATGAGTGAATGAGCCAGTGACGAAATCGGGGTGTTTTTGATGTAATAAATAAAATTTAAAGCAAGTGTATATTTTTAATCCAAATCCAAGTTAAGATGCTCTTCTTACGGCTCGTTTTCGTGGAGGCAATCCCGTGGTCTTATCTTACTTATTAATTTTGTGTTCGTCATGATTGATCTACTATCACCTAATCTTCGCAGCTTGGCTGATCAAAAGTCAGTCAATAACGGTGAATGATCAACTTAAAACTATGCTTATTTTTAGTTATACTCACTTGATTATCTTTGGTTCCACGACTCTGAATACTTTGGCGTACATGTCGATAGCTTGCACCCATAACACCATGGATCGGCATACCTAAGAACATTTTTAATAAATTAATATTCCATGTGACAACATTGTACCTACGACTTCAACGAGGGAGGCTATTTTATGTGGCTGACACGATGGTGATGATTCATTAAATGTTTTTAATCTGCTCATTCGCAGTACAGGAAAGACAGGGAAAAAGCATAAGAATAAAAAAAAGAAGAGTTATGAATAAAAAGGCCGTATTGCACGAATATTACTATATTTAAATAATGAAAATATGAATCAACGGTGAAGCCGGTACAAGTATTCAGTGGACATCTTATCTAAAAAGAAAGTTTTACACATTTTGCGCCAGATGGCAACCTCACGCACTTCGTTCTATACCAACATAAAGAATGGAATTCCCCATAAAAATAATCATAAGATGATGACGTCAGCCAAAAAGTGATTCATATCACAAAAATGTATTAGCCTAGTAGGTATTACCAGTTATCACTTTACTTAAATTGGGTAGGATATAATGTATGAAATTGACGTAAATAATACAAGATTTTAGTTAATTTAGAATGTCTCACAATAGTTATTATAAAAACAATACAAGATCATTATAATTATCTTTAGTTCCAGCAATTACCTTAGATACTTTAACGACAGTGTCTGGATTGAAATCTTTATGAGTGAGATACACCTTCAGCTTCTTAAGAGTAGCTTCTGGAATATGATCTTTGTCATAATCTTCAAGTTTGCCGATGAAATTGACGTCTGCCAATAGCTTCTTCGTGGAATCCCAGTCAGGCCTGCGGGAAGAAGTTAATATCATACGACTATTGGTTTGGTACCTTTTCACGCGTTATTACTGCTTAAGTACACGTGTTAGGAACCTCTTCTCCTTTTTGAATCGGTTAAATAGTACCTAGGTATTATAGCGCAGGATGCTAGAAAGAGATGCAAAAAGTGTTCCCAAACAAGTATGGAGTAAACACTCAGAATCGAAAAAAATAATTTATATGTGGCAGGTAATATATCCTCATTTCAATAATTGTTTTCGATGAAACCATCACCAAGTAATAAAGTATAGAGGTAAGACCTGTTTATCATCGAATTGTCTCTTATGACCTGTCTGTAGGTTTAACAGTAAGATTATACTGTTTTATCGAACAAAATCATATGATGATGAAAACACAGTGTGAAGAATTCAAGTAAGGATTTACATTTACAAGAAACATAATTATGTAACCTTTCTAAACCCATAAGACTTTCTAAGATTTTTTTTTTTTTAAAAAAAACGTCGCCCCACTCTAGGATTTTCTCCTGTGTCGTGGGTGCGTTTACAAAACATACAAGTTCACGTACACAATGACACCCAGACCCGAAACAACAATTTGTGGATCACACAAAGTTTAAAAGATTAAATATGTTCACCTAAATTATTTACACTTTCTTTAGTTATAAACATAGAAACAAATTTTTCTTTTATGAACTAAAAAGTGGCAAACTCAAAACAGTGGTAATATGTAGTCTATGTATTGCATTTATTTATATATTTATGTATTATATAGTAATTATATCATATTATATGTATGCATATTTGGGATATATATTTATTATATAATTCATTTTAAGTCCCTATACCCTTAGTTATGTATTATCGACTATAACTGTCATATCTTCCCTCTTTAATATTTTATACCTTAACTTCGTTATCTACTACTTCATACTTTCTTTTTACAATTTTGCACCTACCGCTTTAACATTCTGCACCACCCAATGGTCGACTGTCAGATAATGCCTACGGCATTAAGTCCGCCAATTACACTGTATGTGCAATAAAGTTTAATAAATAAATAAATAAATAAATAATATAAGGCTTATAATATAATGTTATAAGCCTTTATTCAGACAAAGTAGTTACACAAAATAATTTACAATTGCGACTCTAGTGAGTCGTTGCCATCGACAACTTCGTCTGTTTGCCCAGCTTTGGCAAAGGCCTCCTCCTAGTCCACTTTTTTCCTGCTATTGTCCTTATATCGTCTTCCCATATTCGAAACTGTCTGGCTCGTTTTCTTTTTCTAGGTTACCAACACACTATGCTTTTGTTCCATTTTCGAAGCCTCTTATTTTATGACCTGTCCATTGCCACTTAAGTTTTCGAATTCTGGTTGTTAAGTTTTCTATTTTAGTGCGATTTCTGATAGCTTGATTACGTATTTTGTCAGATTTTCGTATATTCAGCATGCTTCGTTCCATTGCTGACTGGCAATGAAACAAACTTTATAAACTACTTGAGTTTAAAAAAAACGATCTCAACCTCCTCTTTTTTGTAGTTGTTTAATAAATCTCCTAAGTATACTTAGGAGAATGTTTTAGTATCGAAACTAACACTTTTCTGAAAACAGCCAATCGCGGGATAATCGCACACAAACATACATACAGGTCAAACTTCAAAAAAAGGAGATTCTTCAACTCCTTTTTTTGAAGTCGTTTAAAAATGGCAATTATTCACGCGCCCTGCTGTACAAAATTGTGAAATTTTGCAGGCTGCTGGGTCGTTCGGCTCGGCCAAAACTAACAGCGTGTTTGTCACCTCTTACTTATGGTCTAATTAATGGCGCATGAATGAATTTAATCGAGTCTGGGTATTTTATATCTCTTTTATTGTTTTTAGAGTTGTTAGTGTCTCGAAGGTCAAGACGTCTGCTTCTCATGCATGAGGGTGCGGGTTCGAAACCTACCAACGGCCAGTACCAATGTGACTTTTTCCGAACTATATGTACTTTCTAAGGTTATTTAGAGACCACTGACAAACGGTGAAGGAAAACATCGTAGGAAATGGGCTTATAATTTCTAATTATAAGTTTGAAATCGCCAACCCGCATTGAGCAAGCGCGGTGATAGGTGCTCAAACCTTCTCCGTGTGAGAAGAGGCCTTGCTCAGCAGTCAGCATTTATAGTTTGTTAATGTAATGTATGATGTAAATTAGTTCGCACGAATAACACTGCTATAAATAAAAATCTAATTTTACATTTCTAGTTGTTTCACAATCTTTCGAGTTGTAATTACTTACACCTAATGCGTAACGCCTAAAGAAACCTATGAAGGGACAAAATACATATTTTTACCTGTTGACTCGTAACTATATTATTACGAGCTAACAAATAAAAATATGTATAGTATTCATTCGGTAACAATGTTAAATAATTTGGTCTAAAATTACTATAATAGAACCATTCATTGCCCTTGTGTCATTATTGCAATAGTTTCGACCTCGAACAATCTAAAGAAATTAAAATCACGGCCAGTAGCGCAGTGAATAGACAAATTCGTACTTATATTGGGACCTATTTCACTGATTTTAATAAACACAACAGGTACAGTAGAGATGTAAAGGATGAATAGAACTCCAGCCCTTACGTTTGAAATTTAGACCGGTACGTAGTTCTAAGTTCTATACAAGTTGTACAGCACTTTGCTGTATTAAAACTCCTTTAGTAATGGAACCTTGTTTGTGTGGGTTCAAATTAAATTACCAGTGAAACTAGATTTTGATCTACAAAGCAGAGTTCAAAGACTGCTCTAGAACTTAAACCTTTTGTTTACGCAACTTTTCTTTTGTACTTACTTTGCTCCAAAAAGTATGCAGATGGGTTCCATGACAAATCGTACGAGGACTGGCGGTTTCTGGAAGGCTTTGAGTTCATTGATGTCAGCTTTGTTGAGTGCCTTCAGTGCAGCCTGTGCAGCGTCCATAGCCGGCATAGCGAGAGCCAAGTCAGCTTTCGCTTCGTCCGCTATTTGTTTCACTTCCTCAGCTTTTATCTAGTTAAATTATTATCGTGATAAATATTACTTTTATGTAGCACCTATATACCTACCTATAAGTATGTAGTTAACGTCGTGAATTCGACCTGGCGTCGAGCTAAAAGGACCAGCCATAAAAGTATTCTGTGGGTTGTGAAAGGTTGAAAGGATGATAGTCAAGCCAAAATTTTAAAATATTGACATTCGTCCTAATCTGAGTAACACTTTAATATCATGACAATGGAATCTAGATACCAATACTAGAACTATTTGTACCTTTGCAGCCGCCTCATCCTTCATAACAGCGTATTTCACTTGGTCAGCGGCTTTCTGTTCCACCTTCAGCTTGGCGACCAGTGCATGACCTTCCTCCGCTTTCTTCGCGAGGATTGGTTCCATTTCACGCACTTGTTGCTCCATCACTCCTACTACCTCGTACGTTTCGTATAATTTCTGTGTTTAATAAAACACAATTATTTGAATTAGATACGTACAATCGTTGGTATGTCTAGCAAAGAAGTAAATATCTATTACATATTAGAACTTTCGATCTCGAAATTCTCAATCTTCCAAGAGCCTTGAATCGCTAACGAAAATCAAATAACTTTCCGTTATGTTTTAACACTCGTAAATATTATATTGGACAAAATAAATTGGCTCACAGACTTTCTGCACCCAATTTCCTTTAACCTTGAATTTGTTTGATACACAGGGTGTTGCTAAGACACACCCTTGGACCATATTCAAGGTCGTCATCTCCCCTCAATAAGTGACATTGAATCGCATTCTCTTAGGAATCACAGTGGACAGTGGGTCCAACCCCACAATATGTTTAGGATTCCATATAGAAATATGATATCAGAAATGAATATTCTACTATTCCTGTTATTATGCATGTTTTAACGCTCATGTGAATATTACATCGCAAGCTGTGAAAAGACGTTTATTGATATAATGAGCAATTATAATAAAACTTTTTGGCAGTTGTTGCCTTTATTATTTATTCGATAGTATGGCTGGTTGCTGCACAACGCGAGTTTGAATTTTGTAAACGCATCCAAGACACAGGAGAAATTACTAAAGACAACATGTCCTCAAAAAAAGTAGAAGTAAACAAAAGAAAAGAGAAAATAAACTAATAGTTTAAAAAACTAAAAACGTTAGAATAAGTATTACAATCAGAAAATTGTAAAGCCATCACACCACAATTATATGATATGACCACGACAATCATAGGCAAATTTTTAGAACTATAATATCGTAAATCTGTACCACCGACATCATGGTGACATCTTCATCTAAAAGCTATCTCACAAAAGTATATAAAAATGATTACTTTTTTCACAGAAACACTCTATAACTTGAAAACGAAATTACAGACTTAATTCATCTTGTTTTTAAGTTTTCTAATAAGTATTTCGTGGAAGATTCTTACGAAACCAATTATTGAGAATATTTCAAAGACATAAATCATATTTTTTATGTAGGTTTCATGAAAAACAGCATTACGTTATGATCTTGCTCACTTATACGTTTTAATAACAATATTAAAATTAAACTTTGAGCCCAGAAAAATATTTATTTCAAAACGAAGCCATCGATTTAAATAACTATAAACAAGTCATCCTGTACGTTTCCTTTATAAAACAGTTCGAACATTTGTTCGAACTTATTACCTCATCTTGACAAGGCTTTCGAATGAAGAAACACACTGAAATCGGTTCATCGGTTCTGTTGCTGGTGCAATAACAGACATAAGACAAACTTATAACACTTTGAGTAACTAGAGTAACCATGCCAATCACGAAAACGTTTACTTTACTAAATATCATTAACAACTAAACGGGTTTTTTTAATTCTTTCACATATAGATAAAATTTTTATTTACTGAGTATTGTTATGTTATCTATTGCGTTATTCTACAAAAAAATTAACAAAATCCTCACTAATCGTAAGCCTAAGTCGTTACGTTATGAGATTTACGTAATAATCTTTAAAAGTCATTAGTTCTTATTTAAAACTGACTGATTTTACGCTAGTGTTGTACGGTACAAAGGTAACATATAATTGGTAGATGTGTAATGTTATATTAGTTTATGTTACATTTTCCTTAAATTCTCTCAACGACACAATTATTAGTCCACATAATTAGAAATTAAGACAACATAGCAAAAAAGGAATAACAAACTGATTCCGTACTCTACCAAAAAGCTATTACGTACCAATTGGCACTGCTTCTCGTTACTTCTACCGCGTGAGTTTTTATTATATTCCTGGACAAAAACCTACTAAATTACATACCCATATTACACGCTGAAATGTAGCTTCCCATTGGTAAAAGAATTTCGAAAATCGGTTAGATTTTTTAGAAGTTTAGTAAAAGTAAACAACGCGATGACATATTTTACATTTTTATGGTAAAAAGCAGCGACACAAAGGAAATTGCGTTAACTGTGATATCGCACTATGTAAGTTTGTACATATAATGTACCATGTTGCACTCCGATCCGACAGAGTACATGCACTTTTGTATAAAATTCTAATGTTATACGCTGACACAATTGAGTTTTCTGAGCTCTTTCTGTGGGCTGAAAATTTTATATTCTACATGCTAAACTTCGAATTACTGTGTTGGTGGAGTAGGTATGCCAGGTTTGATTCGTTTGAACTTAAGTATTTTAAATTCTTTATGCCTCTAATGCCCGAATACTGAAATGGTACTTAATTCTAGGTCGCAAGTACGGAATATTAGGTATTTATTTGTAGGTACGGAATCCCTTCTAAATCTGATTCAAACTTGGTCCTTTCTATTTACTATTACACTCTCTTCAATTACTAATGTCTGTGTAATATTTGTGGGCGAGCATTAAGTGTAACGAGTTTCGCCCAACGCTGGAGTAAGAGTCAATATTTATTGTTTTATTATGATTGTGTCCACTGTGTTCTCTGAGGAAATCGGTTTTGTATTGAACTTCTCGTTACCCATGCTCTCGAGGTCACAGTTTGTTGTTTCGCCAGATTAAACGAGTGGGACCTACGTGCCTAACTACTGGAATACTCGGCTTTGTGTTAGTAAGCAATTAGCGCAGGGATCAAGATAAAATAATTATATTTAACTGCTTTCATTACACATATTTACTCACTTACGGTCGTATGTTGTTGGTTTAGTTCAGACCATTAGTACCTACTAAGACGAATTTTAGTGATTTGTAAAGCAATAATCTTTGTTACATAATAGTTGTAAATATATTGGTTAGGTACCTGCAGACCGCAGGATATTCTGTCTCTCCCGCGTATAATTTGTTGCTGCTTCTTGTCCAGCAGCATCAGGTACAACTTCAGCAAGTCCAAGTAACTACTAGGTGTAGTGTAGAAGTACCGTCTCATCTCCTGGTACAATCTATCTGTCATTACATCCACGTCCTAAAAACGGAGTTAAAACTTTACACTCTATGTATTAAAGTTCCTTTTACAGTGTACTTCATAAATAAATGTGCCAGTTCCGAAGCTTCTATTTCAACTGTGATATTTTCAAACCCATAAGAATTTCATATTTCTAGTCAGACAGAACCGTTGGTTCTTCCACGAGTTAAAAATAAAACGTTAGCTCCCTAAAATCAATGCCTTAGTTCGGCTGTCTGTGCGGTGCGCCGCGGGGTTTTAGATTCAAACTGTAAGTGAGAGGTGATCTATCTCGATTTTTGAAATAGAACGATAGTTGGAATAATAAAATATAATGTTTAAAATGTACCAAACAGAACCCAATATTTTACAGCTCATATTCTTGACCAGCTTTTCGCGACATGCGAGACTCGACGACTGTCACGCTGCTACATAAATATGAGCCTCTACCATGGCTTGAAACTAGTCGAGCTCTTCGTGAAACAGTTACGTGAGTAAGCCGAAAACATAATAGTTAATTTAGTAAGTCTCACGAAACTTTTAATATAAAAATATGTTAAATATAGGTAGGTATTAAAGAGTCAATCTTATTGCAGAGAAATAATTTTGTTGTTATTTTTCTGGTGTTATTCTTTACAAAATACTCGTAGATAAATAACTCAATATTACCTGATGCATTGTGACACACATCGTAGAAATTAGATCAACGAGTTCTTGATTTCCGAGCGGCTGTAAGCATTGTTTGGCAACTGACAGCAGTGCCTCTGGTGGCCATTTAGTGAACCAGTCAATGGTGCAGCAGTTCACTAGAGAAGGGAACATCCGACAGCGACGCCTGACCAGACAAAAGGAGTTTCATGTCAGTGTGTCATTCAGAATGCAATGTAATAATGGCGACTGGTGACTATGATTATTTCACAACGCTATACGTTGCTATTCAATGTGCTGGGATTGAAATTGTGTTTATACAGTTTTATTATTGTTGGGATCCATTTTAGAACGTCTTAACAGACACAAATTACCTATAACATATTTTGTATAGAAATTCATAAAAACATCTATTAGTTGGACTAATAGAAACTAACTAATCAAACAGGTCTTTACTATTAATTATTATTGTAACAATTATTTATTTGCTTAATATCTTCAATGTAAAAACTACCTAAAATATGTACATAAACCTATATTAAGCTGATCATTTCATTAAATTACAACACGGGCGGAATCAATACAGGACCGTGGTGCCCCTTAAATCCAGGTATCAATTTGCGTCATAGCTTTTAGGTGTATATTAAAATATAGTGCGTACGCATTGCACCGGGCAGGGGGGTGCAAGGAGGGTATGGGCAGCGTTGCAGAGCGCAGCCGCGCACCTCTACTTCCGACCCCAATCAAGATTTATTGATCCATCCCTTTAAACTACATCTCTATTAACTCGCCATCATTTATTTTATCTTCTCACCTAATCACTTCTAGTATTACTTAACCCATTTTTTCAGGCTTGAGCTGCAGCTGGATTTCAAGTACTTAATACGCAAACTGTTGGCAGTGCGCCAAGCATCAGGAGCTCGGTGAAAGTGCAGGGTCAAGGTTCGCACATAATGTTCGTGATACATTGTGGTTACTGCACAACGGAGTTTTCGTGCACAATTACATTCACGGTCAAATGATACACTGGTAGTCTTGGAAGACATTCTCGTTAGAGTCGACTTGGTTCAAGTTAGACACGGAACTAAGACATTAATTATTTTTTTAAGTGGTTGTCTTTCGTCATAATCCGATATTCTGTGATTTGCGCTTATACTAATTGAAAATGGTATAAATGAATATTATTTTATTCAAATAATATCCCATTTAAAGTTTACAAATATTGTCAAATCTATTATATGTAACAGACCCTAGCCGAAATGAATCGATAGTTTGTGAATAATTCTCAGCTGAAAATATTCATTTCGGAAAAAGGCCGGCCTTTGTTCAGTAATGGACGCTTAGTCATCGAGAAATGAAAGGATGCTGCAGTCCGAATCTTTTCTCTTAGAAGAATTAACACTTTAACTGCTAAGTTTAAAATGGTTACCACTTCTAGCGTCAGGCACCGGGGAATGACGTGGCACTTTCAAGGATTAAAAATAAAAAAAATGTGAATTCTTTAAAACTCGGTCATTTTACCTGAACGCTTCTCCAACGGGACTCATACAAATACAAAGGTGTAGCTTCCCTCGGACCCTGTTGATAAAGAAGTAGTAGACTCCATCACGGTCAGAAGGATTGATGCCAAACTTAGCGGCCTCATTGCGACACCCACTCTGAACAGCCTCGTACGTATCTCCTTCAAACAAGTTCGGTACCTCACCTAGGAAAGGGATAAGTATGAAACAGTATTTAGGATGCGACGGTTTTGAAGAAAATCTGGTAAAATGTTAACATTCTGTCTACTTGTAAGTCTCCAAATGTGAGGGTATCGAATCCAATGGCCGAATATCCCTTTTCAAGCGACTAAGCGACTAATGAGTCAGCAATGTTTTTGTTAAATTACTTTGTTTTATGATAATAGATCGGGAACAGAGCATATGTATTGAATATAGGCTAATCTGGCGACCACGTGGTCTACACCACGCCTCTATAGTTAGCGTGTTTGTAAGAAAAGCTAAAGTTCCGTTTTATTATTGATCATTAACAGTTAATTGTGTGTTACAGTATAAGTATAAGTGTATTACTTTTGTTTGTTTTTAAAAAAACGTTGCCCCACACTAGGATTTTCTCCTGTGTCGTGGGTGCGTTTACAAACATACAAGTTCACGTACACATTGACACCCAGACCCGAAACAACAATTTGTGGATCACACAAAGTGTTGTCTCGTGCGGGAATCGAACCCGCGACACGTTGCACGGCAGCCAGTTGCCCAGCCACCGCACCAACCGTGCAGTCATTTACATTACAGTACCGACTTACCTGTAGGTACTTTGAGATCTGACAATTAGTTCAATTTTCATATCTGAATATTGAGTAAAATAGTATTCCTATTACTACCGTTGTGAAATTAAAAAAACCCAATTATAGATACCTACTTTATACTCAATGATATAGGGTTCACAAAAGCTTAGTAGTCGAGTTTGCTACTACTACGATTAGAGCAAGTAGATAGTCGAACATAACATCACGCCTTTTATCCCCGCCTGTATGTGCACGTTACGGCACTTAATATCATTGTACACTGTAACACCCACTTTTCACTAATTATGTTATGAGTACCATGTAATAGGGGGTGAGCCTATTGCCAAATACCCGGCCCATTTCCAGACTACGAGCTACTACCGAAAATTTTTTAAAACCCAGTAATACTTTGCCCGACCCGGGAATCGAACCCGAGACTCCTTGCCCGGTAGTCGCACTTTCAACCTCTCGTCCAATGAGGCAGTCGAACTAACTTAAAATATTCATTTAAACACTATACGTACTTGACTATCGGTAGACAAGTGTTGAAACCGAATCTTCCGCTCACTATGCACATATGCCGTGTATGAGACACTTGGCAGTGTCAAATTATCTTATCAATTTCTAGTGTTCATTAGAGTTACTAAGAAATTCTTAACTAGGCAAGCTACAAATATTACCAGAATTGAGCATATTATTGATATCTTCAAGGAATTCTTCTTTTGTGATCTGTGTGTCTGTGAAAAGGAACACGGTGTCTTCATAATTGGCACCAGCTCGCATATACATATTCCGGAGATCGTCGTGGAACTCAGGTGTGTCGTAATTCCTCTTAATTTCCATTCCCATACACCTGCGTAATGATATAATATCGATTGAATTTAATGCTCAGTACCTATACAGTTCGCGTAAATTAAATTAGTGTCTTTGTTTTACAATTTGGTTTTAGGCAGAATTAATTATTTACCCCGGGTAACTGCAGTGGCATGACCTCATTCGTGAAATAAGATTTTCCAATTATATTTCCTATTTATAAAAAAAAAAACTTGAAACATTTCAGTTCTGTTTTTAAAACTGTAGAATTGATAGAATATACATAAACAACTATGCAAGTAACAAACAAGACTTAGAAAAATGGTATTTGTTTAAGCTTTCCTCTAATGGGTACAACCTACATAAACTGCCCACATACTAATAAGTCAAGAGGAAAAATACATTGAAAACCAACAAAGCCATTAGGGCACTGAGGACGGGATTAAAAATTAAAAGTAAACAATTCACCTTGCAGCCATTAGTCGGCAGACTAATCACCACTTACGTTGTAACATTAGTGTATGTATGTGACAAGGAATATGTGACCGACTTGTTATTTAAGGACATACAGGAACATATCAACCTATGCAAAACCAAAATATACTGGCCGTTGAACGTGTGGTAAGATCATACAAAGCGGGACCATGGTAAAGTCGGTTTGTATAGCTGTGCAGTCGTGTGAACATTACATGCGCCTCCAACCGTTGCAACCAGTAACGAGGCATGTCGATTCTAACTACTGTAATAGGTGGACTCGTTGTATACAACATGTAACGTAATTAACGCACACTCTCAAACACCCCAATTAGAATATTATGTTATAATCATAATACATACACAAAATTTTTAATTTAACATGTATATGCATCCTTACTGGTCTTGTCATAAGGTTTATTTTTCTTTATTTTGTATTGAATGATAGAATTTGTATGAATACAAATAAAACTGCGATTTTAAAAGTCTTATTGCTTTGTCTTATTTTTGGGATAAAAAATTACCTATACTAAAAGTTATATAAATCGATTCAGTTAACGATTCTGAACAAACTATTTTCAGGATGTGCGTTATTACTTTTTAGCCTCTATATCCAGCGATTTAAAGTCGAATATTCCAGTAAGCAAAGCACAATTTCAACAACCTAGACTTAACTATTGTGCAGTTATGTTCCTAAATCTATACAAATAAATCCTAAGGCCCAAACTACTATCTTCAGGACATGATTTCCAAAAATTCATTTTCTACTATAATCATTTTTGTTTATGTTCAAATATAAATAAGTTGACGTTCGCGTAAACATCAACACATCCTTGTATTTGTAGGATCAGGGTCCGACATTATTTGAAAATAAAACAAAGGGCTTCACACAATCACTTAGTTTATTTCGATTAAATGAACTTACTTTCACATTAATTTTTAATTATAATAATTGAATAATTCAGCACTGATTATATAAAGGAAACACTCAAATAAAACCAACAATAAAATTACTCAGCGATTGCGTAACGTGTGAACTGGGCAACGATCGACGAACGACTGACTCGAGCTTGCGCTTGCGCTGCTTTATATATCACTCGGTGGTGGGGTTGAAGTGACGTCGGTCAGTTGTTTGTTCACTGCTCGCCCATTACATTCGCAGTTTACAAAATAATGACGGCGGCGCCGACACGGCCATACTGACGTACGCTCGTCCTCGAGCGTTTTCCGAGCATCTGGGAATAAGATAACAACCCGTTCGATCATCCTGGCATTTCTAATCTCTATCTAGTATAACCTTTAACAAAAGCTTTCAATATTGTGCGGGTTCGGTTAACCCTTCAGCTTACCACAACTACTACGTTATCATCACTCATCAGTATTAGAACTGGAGACGATTGTGCTAGGCCGGATAAATATCCCTTTAGCGCATGCTAGACTGGACATCAGTCCCTTTAGCGAATGCTAGACTGGACATCAGTCCCTTTAGCGAATGCTAGACTGGACATCAGTCCCTTTAGCGAATGCTAGACTGGACATCAGTCCCTTTAGCGAATGCTAGACTGGACATCAGTCCCTTTAGCGAATGCTAGACTGGACATCAGTCCCTTTAGCGAATGCTAGACT